GGAGCTTGTCAGAAGCAGATAGCAATAAAGTGGAAGATTTTAATATACATGTAGACAGAAAAAAAATCAGATGGCCCAAGATAACCATGAAGTAGAGGTTCATAGAATGTTTTTTGGTCCAGTTTCTGGAGCAAACCAGACAGCAGGCTATACTAGACCAATAGACTAAAACTATACTAGACCATATTTTTTAAACAATGTGTTCAGCCGTGTTGTGACACACCTCTGGAACAGGCAGGAATTGAACTCTGGCTTTGGCCCAAAGATAGGGACACTGCCTCTGCACCACAAGAGCTCTAAATGTACTAGACCACTGCTATTATTGTGAGATGGAATGGATTAAGATTATTGAGATGGGATTAATTAATAGCATGATAATGAGGGTGACCACAATCTAACTGAATTTTACATTCAGCTTAGGTGAAAGAGTGGGTTCAAGAACAGTTTTAAATTTGAAAAGGGCAATTATGAGGGCATGAAAGCGAAGTTGCCTTAAGTGAACTGATAAATTAGGCTAAGGGATATGTTAATAAAGATGCAGTTGCATTTTCTGAGGAATTTTTCAGAATATACAGATTAGATTCTTTCCAATGAGAAAAGTTCCAAGGGAGGACCCATCATTTATGGGAAACACTTAAACTTTTAAGATTGTGTCAAACTCCAAGAAAAAGCATGTAATTAGTCAAAGTGAAGTGGCAGGTCAGAAGACTGGATCAAATCAAACATAAAATACAACATGAATGAATAAAAGAGTAAAAGCAGGAAAAATTTAGAATAGGAGAGAGACAGCTAGAAATATAAAAGATAATATACTTCTATATAAATTTTAAGAGTTAAAATGAGTGATCATAAATGATTTTGGGAATTAATGGAATAATAAGGAAATAGAAGATAAATTGAATAGTTATTTTGCCTGGCAGTTTTCACTATGCAGGGTACAAGTAACATACCAGAATTAGCTGTAAATCGGCAAATGGAAGGGAGGGAGGACATAAGAACATTACAGTTGCCAGGAGAGTGATACTGTGGAAATTGTTGTAGCTGCAAATTGATAAGTCCTGATGGACTTCATCCTAGTCTCAAAATAAGTGGTTAGTTAGTTTTAATTTTCCAGAATTCTCTAGATTCAAGGAAGGTTTCATTAGATCAGAAAATAGTGAATATAACTCCTTTTGTTCAAAAAGGGTGGGAGACAAAAACTATAGTCCAGTTAAGATCCTGAGGATTCTTGATGGGGTGCACATGGAGAGCATATTTCCTGTTGTGGGAGATTCTAGAAATAGTTTGTTGCTTCAAAAATAGGTTGGCTCCAAATTTAAGACTGAAATGAGGAGAATTTTAAGATCTTGAGTCTTTGGAACTTTCTTCTCCCACTCCTAGAGGCAGAGTGTTTAAATATTTTTAAAGCAGAGGTAGATGGATTCTTGTTAAGCATGGAGTTGTAAGATTATCAAGGGTATGCAGGAATGTGGAGTAATCACATCAATCGTAATCTTATCGAATGGTACAGCAGGCTGAAGGTGCTGAGTGGCCTACTTTTGGTTAGTATGTTCATATAAATCATTTGCTCTGGTTATAACAGGCTGCTGTTTATGTTTAGCATGAGGCTTTTGTAGTGTGACCAGATTAGCATCTCCATTTTAGTTTCGCCTGGCACTGCTTCAGCATGCTTACTGACAATCCTCATTTGACACCAGGATCAAGGGATTTGCCAGGCCATAATGTTACAGATTTTGGTATAATAATTGCTGCTTTGGCTGATTCCCAACAGTTTTATGGATCTCCCAATTTTAGGCTACTAGGACTGTCCTGAATCTATTCCTTTTATGATCATGGTAATGCCACTTAACACAATGGAGTGTGTCCTCGGTGTGAAGACAAATGTTCAGTGGAGATGAAATTGTGTAATGGCTACCCCTAACAATAATGTTATGGATAGATGCATCTGTGACAGACAGATGTGAGGATGAGCTCAAGTAAGTTTCTTTTCCCTCTTGTCACTTAGCTCCTCATCAGCTGCAGGCCCGGTGTAGCAGAAATGTTTTTTTGGACTAGAGTCATACAGCATGGAAACAGACGCTTCAGTCCAAATCTTGGTCCATGCTGATCAAGTTTCCCAAACTAAACTAGTCCCATTTGGCCCATGTCCTTCTAAACCTTTCCTAAAGATTTACTTGTCCAACTGTCTTTTAAATGTTGAAACTGTAACTGCGTCTACCACTTCCTCTGGCAGCGCATTCCATACATACACCACCGTCTGAAAAAGTTGCCCCTTAGGTCCCTTTTAAATTTTTCTTCTCTCACCTCAAAATTTTGACCTCTATGGGAAGATACGTTTGTTATTCACCTTATCTATGCCCCTCATGATTTAATAAACTTCAGTGAAAAAGGTCCCAGCTCATCCAGCCTCTCCTTATAACTCAAACCCTCCAGTCCTGGTAACATTCTTGTAAACCTTTTCTGCACCCTCTCCAATTTAATAATAATCTTCCTATAGCAGGGCAACCAGATCTGTACACAGTACTCCAAAAGTGGCCTCACCAATGTCCTGTACAACCACAATATGACATCCCAACTCCTATACTCAATGGTTTTAGCAATGAAAGCAAGCGTGCCAAACACTGCCTTAACCACCCTGTCTACCTGTGATGTAATTTTCAATGAACTACGTACCTGAACCCTTAGGTCACTCTGTTCTACAACACTCCCCAGGCTCTACTATTTATTGTATAAATCCTGCCCTTGTTCACATTGCCAAAATGCAACACCTTGCATTTCTCTAAATTAAACTCTTCGGCCCATTGGCCCATCTGATCAAGATCCCTTTTGTAATCTTGGATAACCTTCCTTACTGTCTACTATACCACCTCTTTTGGTGTCATTTGCAAAATTACTAACCATGCTTCCTATATTCTCATGCAAAAAGTTTATATAAATGTCAAACAACAGTGGACCTGGCACCGATAACTGGTCACAGGCCTCCATTCCAACCCTCCACCACCAGCCTCTGTCTCCTAATGCAACTTATGATGATGGACATTTCAGTCTTTTACCCAGAATACCGAATTCTACGCCATCCTTGGTTCTTCGAAGTGGTCTTCTACGTGGAGAAATTGATACAACAGCCAAATAAACTTGGCGATGAAATCTGTTGATTATCATCCACTGAGTTTGACCTGATGCTGAGAGACTTCATGGGGCTCACTATCATGTTTCTTCTCCCCTGTATAATACTGCACTGTCATTTTGGAACACCTGTCCTACTGGTCAGACATGACAAAGATGTAGAATTCTGGGACAGTGAGTGTAAGGTATGATTCTATGCATATGACTTTGGCTAATTCTTATCTAGAAAATACAACAGCTGTTCAAATTCTGGCACCATCCTGATGTTAATGAAGAAAACTTTGTGGTATTGGGAGCTGGGGGAATAGAGGAGAGAGACAGTGCCTTTGTTATTTTTATTGACGATGTGCTACATGTCAAGTGCATGTATATGTGTGTGAATTGCTACTGGACTCCCTCTACTCTGCCAAAGTTTAGTACAGTGAGTAGTAGTGGCTTGGATTTTCTTTTGGTCGTTTAGTGAATAAGTATCTTGTATTGTGTGGTATTGAATTAGTTATTCTTAGCTGAAGGTAAAAGTAGACTAATATTTCCATTTCTGACTCTTTCTGATAAGTGTGTAGATATTAGGTTGGAGTAACTGAAAAGGCCGTTGAGCAACCAGCATGAGATGCGTGGCCTCCTAACTGAATTGCATAAATGATAGCACTTGTACAAAATTGAGTGAAGGGGACAAGGAGTGAACAGAATTGTAAAAAAAACTTGGGTTATCTTTGTACTCCAATTCATCCAGTTATTCATCTTTTAATTTCTTTTAAGTCTGTGTGCTTTGATCTTTCAAAGGAGCTGAGATGAGGGCTGCACCAGGTGAGCGGTTAAAGTAATGTTTGTTTGGAAACTAGGTGGAGGTGAGGGTGTAATTGAACAAATCAGTTGCAAAAATTTGGCAAATAGAGGCTAAAAGCTAGACAGTTAGGATTTTGAAAGTGCAGTTGTAAGTGAATTGGGGTATAGACTTTTGCAAGGAACAGAAACACAGAAGGTTGTGCTGTGATTTATGGAAAAGAGATGCAGATAGTGCATTTAAAGAATAATCGGAGAGGCCCTTATTAGATGTTCTAACAAAGAATGAGAATTCTACATTTTCTGTAATTTAATTCTACACACTTTCTTTTTATAAAGGTTACAGCACATGCAATTTGACCTATGATTTTTTTTTTATGCTGCTTCTCTCGAACGATTTAACTCGTGCCATTCCCCTGCCTTTTTCCTATAGCTGTACAATTCCTGCTCCTCCACATGATCCTTCAATTCCCTTTTTGAAAAAAAAATTGAACACCCTCCACCATCCTCTTAAGGCGCTGCATTCCAGATTCTAAATATAATACAGGTTTTTAAAAATAAATCCTCATTCTGCTGCTGTTTCTTTTCCCAATCACCTTAATTTGGTATCTCCTGGTTCTTGATCCTTCGTGATTTTTTTCTCTCCATTCTGTCCGGACCACTCGTACGATTTTTTGAATCCGATTTTGAATATTGGGCTCCGTGCAATCTTTGAAAAATTCCAAGCCTCTTCAAACTATCTGTGCAACTGAAGTTTCTTTTTATTCTCATGGACCTTTTCTACAACCTCTAATGTGATGCCCAAAACTGGCCTTAATCTCCACATGAGGCTAAGCTAATGTCATATACTGCAAACGTCGCTGTAATACTGAGATTCCTATTTGTCCGTATTCCATGCTACGGTAATTACTCAATGGGAAAATCCGACTCAGAAACTTTACCACGTAAACCAGTCCGATGTAAGCCCGGGGGAGTAGGAGAGACAAGTCCATGAGCCAGTGAGAGCCGAACGTTGAGCTGTCGATAGGCAGGCCCAATGGGAGGAGGTGTTGTTACGAGGTGCCACGCCGGCCTCTATATAAAAGGACACATGTAGGTAGTGAACGGGACTCCAGAAGCAGGAGCTAAAAATTTGGGACGGGTACAGAGGAAAAAAAAAAGAAATCCACATCCACATCCGCTTTGAGTTATCTTCTCTCGGACGCCAGCGAGTGCGAAGATGGCCGACGCCGGGCAGCAGTACGTGGAAGGATCGGAGAACGGTCACTACGAGGAGGGAGAGGGTCAGGCTGCCGGCGGGCGGGGAATGGCGGCGGCGGCGGCGGACGGAGCGGAACCTTCCTCGGGAGCCGACAGCGAGGGCTCGAAAATCAACGCCAGTAAAAACGAAGAAGACGCAGGGTAAGGTTCCATTTTAGTTTTATTTTTAAAAAAAAAATGCCGATGTGCTAATCTACCCGTTTTCCCGCCGCCGGTAGGCCCAGGCGGGGACAGGGCGGTTCTTGAAGCGGGGCGGTGTCCCCGTGGGGTGGGGGGGGGGTGTTCCGCAGCCGTCTATCCCTTCAGGTACCGTGCTGGGCCCACATCGCTCGCGTTAAGTGAGGCGATACCTTTCAGTGCGATGTGGAAGACCCTTTTATTTGCCTCTTTGCGTGAGAGTTTGGGGAAGCTTACGGTGGAGCTGAGGGAGCAACACCAGCTCCTGCTCAGGGACTGTGCCCGCCATCTCTTTGTTCACGCTGCTCTTGGCGCCATGTGCTTATTTGGGCTGGGGGGGTGGTGTGGGAGGGAGGTCCAGGACTCGGTAACAAAAGGTCGCCTTTTCTCTCCCGCTCTGTCTCCAACAGGAAAATGTTCGTAGGAGGCTTGAGTTGGGATACAAGCAAAAAGGACCTGAAGGATTATTTTTCCAAATTCGGCGAAGTTGTGGATTGCACAATTAAGATGGATCCTGCAACCGGAAGGTCGAGGGGGTTTGGATTTATCCTCTTCAAAGATTCTTCATGTGCCGATAGAGTAAGGTTGAGAGGGTTTTGACGGTAGCCTATACTTTGACCCAGGCATCTCACAGGTTGTGTTGTAATGTAATTTTAGGATTTTGAAATAAAATTGAGCGGCAAAAGGCAGTTGAATTGGAGGGGTGGGGGTGGTAGTAGAAAGATATTGTATTCTTTGCGTTTGTGGAGCTGAGGTGCTTTGGGATGGAAGTTTCCACGGAGAAATTGGTAAGCAGTTGACCTTCAGTATGAAGCGGCAGTGAAGAAGTGGAATGCTGTCAATCTAATTTCCAGAGGCTATGATGTTACTGTACGTGGTCAGAATGCATAGTTTCCACGACCAACTTTCTACTTTGAAGAACAATAGGTCATTCAGTTCGATCTGGCAAATCCACCATTGCTCTGCACTCCTTGATGCCCTTGCTTACCTGCTAAATAGCCTTACTATTGTTCGATTTACTGATCTTGGTTGTAAATTTTCTAATCCCATTTGAATGAAATATGGAGGGAAAATAATTGAGGTCAAACAAAAGGTTGTTTCGGAGAATATACAAATGCTGTAAATTTGTTCAACTGGAATTAAAGTGGAACTTTAGGTGTGCAGAATTCAGAATCCTCTGATAAATATATTTAACAAGTTGCCCACTGTTTTGAATTGCGTTTAGTTTATGACCCTTGGGCTTTTAGGAATCCTTCAAAATTACTCCTTTCTAGCCTAATGACTTAGGTGCAGACTTTTGGTCTATGCACAAGTTATAGTCACACAGCAATATATAGACTTGCTGTTTGTTATCTGATGTCCTACCTGTGTTCTCGTGTGTGTGGTCTGGCTAAGACCCCATCTCCCCCTGTCTGGTTTGATCACACCTTTAATAATTGTATTGGCGTGATGTCTTTTTTTTCATTATCTGTACGAAGTCCATATCCCTACTCCTGTGGATAACAAGGGTTTGGTGTCATAAAGTGTCCCAAGGCAACTGAGTGTTACTCCAACACCATTTTAACAAATCACAAAAGTAAAGAGACCTGGGTCAAAGGAATAGGAGGAAAAAAGTTTAGGCTTGTGGTTCTTGAGCTTAGGATCTTGGCAGCTGGAGGCAATGTAGCATAGTGTAGTGAGCCCCGTGTTGAGGATCCTCAGGAAGACAATTATGCAAGTCCATAAGAAATAGGAACAGGAGTAGGCTGTTCTGCCCCTCAAGCTTGCTCTGCCATTCAGTCAAATGGCTGATCCCACACTCTTCACATCCACTTTGCTGCCCATTCCTGTATCCCCACTGATCAATCTTAGCTTTAAATATTTGCAAGGATTTTGCCTCTACAGCTATTTGTGGTAAGATGTTCCAAAGATTGTCAACCCTCAAATTCCTTCCTAAATTCTTAAATTGGCACCCTGTATTCTGTGGCAGTGTCCTTTGGTTCTGCTCTTTCCCAGGAGGGGAAACATTTCTCTCTGCTTTCAGTAATGACTGGTACCAATGAGCATGTATGGATTTTGTTTTGCTTGTTTTTCTTTAGAAGTCATACCACACCTTTTGGAATACAGTCTCTGTCAGGTGAAATTAAATATACACAATTCTGTACTGTCCTTGAAATTTTTGGACTTTTGAAAGTAGCTTGGTTTTCTTTTAGGTGTTGGAACAAAAAGAACACAAACTAGATGGTAGAGTAGTGGATCCTAAAAGAGCAATGGCAATGAAGAAAGAACCTGTGAAGAAGATATTTGTTGGAGGACTTCATCCTGATACCCCAGAAGATAAAATAAGAGAATATTTTGGAGCCTTTGGTGAGGTTGGTATTTGTTGATCGTGTGATGTATTTTAAAGCACTGCATTAAAATTTTGTTTGAAGGGCAGAAGTGAGGTAATGCTTGAGATCATGTAGCTTGTACTTGGTGAGTTAGGATATTGTCTGCAGTAACAACCATAGTTGTTTGGGATTGAAATGATTGGTTGCACATTTCCCACAAATGTGTAAAACTGGATTGTGAAGCTTTACTGTACCTGTTGCCCTGACAGTGTGCAACTTGGACCTTTTTAAGTTCCATATGATGTAATATTGACACTGCTATGAACGAAAACAAGTTAGAGATGCTGTTGTGTAGCTGCCTAGGCTAAAAGTGGAGAGAAGTCCCTGTTGACAAGGTACACTGAAGATAAACGGCATACTACAATGACCTACTAGCTATTCATCTGAAGCATTTGGGTCTGTGTTCAGAAGCTATTATGGTTAGATTAATTGTGTGTAATGTACCTCCTATATGCAAAGAATTTTTTCTGCCTGTAATTTTAAGTTTTACTCAGTTTGGTTGAAATATTAGCTTTGCCCTTATGTAAACTTTGAATTTAATCCAGGTGGAATCAATTGAACTTCCAATGGATAGCAAGACCAACAAAAGGAGAGGATTTTGTTTCATTTCGTTTAAAGAGGAAGAACCAGTAAAAAAGATTTTGGAGAAGAAGTACCATGACGTTGGAAACAGCAAGGTATTAGATGCAAGTAACTTTGTTTTACAAAGCTACAGCAAGAAAACGTGAAATTTTGTACACTAACTAGTTTTTTTGTTTAAACATAGTGTGAAATAAAAGTGGCTCAGCCTAAAGAAGTTTACCAGCAGCAGCAGCAGTGGGGAGGCAGAGGTAGCCTTACAGGACGGGGTAGAGGTGGTGGCCGTGGAGCTGGTGAGTTGAATGTTTACACTAAATGTTGAAGAGAAAATAATCTGAAATAAATCTTTTAGTACTTAACAATATGTCTTGCTAAATGTTAAGGTCAAAGTCAGAACTGGAGTCAAGGATACAGCAATAATTATTGGAATCCAAGCTATGGCAGCAGTTATGGTTACAGCGGACAAAGTGGCTATGGTGCATATGGAGGCTATGATTATACTGGCTATAATTACAATAGCAGTTACTATGGTGGATATGGTCAAGGATATGATTACAGTAAGTACATTTATTGCTCTACTGAAGCAAGGCTAGTGTGTAGATTCTCAGCATTTAATGTGGCCATTTTCTGCCATTCACTAATTCCTTTCCAACTAAAAGATTTGGTCTAACATTCCATTGTGGAAATGGCTGTGTTTTGTTTTTTTTCTGGCTGGTTTTGTTTCAGTGGAAAACTGCATTTTGTCTATCCACTTTAGACAGCATTGACTTAACTGTAAGCTTGTTTTCATCCAGATCAGAGTAATGGTAACTATGGGAAAGCACCGAGGCGTGGGGCAGCTCACCAAGGTGGTTACAAACCATATTGATATGGAATGTGAATGCAGGTATGTTGCCAGTACTGTAATGAGTCTACTTCTGAAAATTGGTATCTTTCAAATAACTAAAATGAATGGGGAGATTTAACCTAGGGTAATGTTTCCTGGTGCACTTCACTACTTTTTTTTCTTATTTTTAACAAAAATATTGGTTCCTGACTGACATTCAATAAAACAAAGGTTTTCACAAGTGTTCTGTTAATGATTAGAACAGCACTGTTTGATTACTGTTGGTGCCTTTGCAGAAAACGGGATAGATTAGGTGTGGGTAGGAAGGAGGAGGACAACTTGTGATCCTTATTGAAGCTAGTTGAGATGTGCAGTTATTCAGGGTGTCAATCATAGCTGCTGTAAGCTAGCTGAGAACTAGTATAGGAAAAAAACTGCTAAAGAATTTGCATCACAGTACATCTTGTTAATTCTACATATTTAAAATAGAAGTCCATTCACTTTTGACATTTACACTCAATATTTGATTAGTGGTTCAATTCAGAATACTACAAGGTTAATGCCATCTCCACAACTGTGTTTGTACTTCTAGTTTCATGATCTAATCAGTTCATGTATTGGCTTGCTTAACACTGCCTTGAGGCACCTGCCAATTCTAATATGTACGGCCAGATCATGACTGCCTTTTTTTAAAAGCTATTAAACACATTTTGATTGCCATGTTTGTAAAAATTGAATAAATGTACACAGAATGAAATGGGTTTGAACCCAATTTTCTGAAGAAATGACGCCACCCCTTTTAATGGCAGATTTTGGATGGAACTTGGGTTTGTTACCGTTTCATAATTTTTAATAAACATTCCCATCTGTTCTGTACAATTAGGTTTTAAAACTTTTGCTAACTCTTTGGATGAAGGACCCCACACATTCTCTCTAAAATCTGGAGAATGTCACATGAAGATTAACAGTAAGTAAACTTCATGTAAAATTAATTGGACTTGATCCTTGAGCAATAATTAATGTTTTGGCTATTTGGCAATACAAAATTCCATAGAAATTTGAGTTCTCCTGGACGAACATTGCTGTGGGTCACCAACTTTCATCCATAGGAAATTGCAGATAATTCTGATCAGATTGTAAGTACAGGAGTGCAAAGAGTACTTTTTAAAACTTCAAATATTTGTAGCAAGTTTGTTGATATGGTTTGTTTATTTTTTAAAAAAAAAAAACATGTATAGGCACACCTTTCCCACTTGAACTCCATCTTAAATACTGGGGATTGTGGTTTTTACATGTGTTCTAAGATTAGTGAGTCATGTCAGTGTGTTCAGGATTAGTAAGAAGTGTCTACTACCTGCATAGCAAGTGACACAGCCTGACGGAGTTGAGGACACACCCAAAGATGTGTGTATTAAAGCTAACTTGTTCTGTAGATTTGAACAGAATGCTGCTAGGTACATTAATTATATTGTCTGTAATATTCATGAAGTACTTCTTGCTGCACTTGAATTGACAGGCCACATTCAAGGTGGTTGTGGTTTATGGCCATCCAACAATGGTGTGTAATTGGTTAGCTTCAGTTTGGATGATTAAATGACTCTCTAGTTTAAAGTGTTTAATGCTTTCATAGTTTTAACCTTTGTTCCTTTTTTTTTTCCCTAATGGGATGAAGAGAAAAATCTCATTCACTGAAAATGAAGCAAGTGGTCAAAGCAAATGTGGCTACCAATAGTGAAGTGATCTTCTGAACATGTAGCTCATTTTTTTTGTTGCTTTTACTTCTATTAAAAGATATTTGTATGAGGACCATAATTGGTTTTCTTTTTTGGTACTTTTTCAGGTCATCAAGCTGGCAGAAACATTCACTGGTCCTCTAAATGCAACTGTGTTGCATTTAGGGACTGGTCTGAACTGTTTTCACTCTGGATGACTCCCAAATGTACAGAAGATTGTTTTAGGGAAGCCTGTCACTTTCCAGCTTTTTTTTTTATTTTGTAGTCTGTCTTTTGTGTCGTACATTTCCTGTGATGGAAGTGGTTTTTACTGTACTTTTTGGTACCTAATGGATGCTAATAATGTATTATGTAAGTTTGTATTTTACATAAAATTACTGGATTTGCATCAATACCTTGCTTATTGGAGCAGTCCAAGTTCCAGAAATAAAAGTTCCTTTTGTGTATTTTGTGTTGCATGAATTTTGTTTGTATTTATTTGTTTAATTTGCGTAAAATCAGAAGTAAAGAACAGTGAAGACATTTCAGCTTGAGTTAGTATTTTACATGTCTGTCTGGGGTATACTGCTGGCTAGTAGCTGCTTTTGGAAAATGAGAAAGCTATCACATGCAGGATTAACTTTTGATGTTACTGTTGGTGTTTATTACTGGCTTGTTTACAAACAGTCCTATGGATCTGTAATTGAAAGCTAGTGCTGAAGCTAAATGAGTAACTTCAATGCAACTGCTTTATTAATATTTAATAAGAAATGTTTAGTTCTAATACTACAACAACTTCTGAAGATATCAACATCACTTTAGTGAAGTGGGTTGTTTTTGCTATGTGCAAAATAATGTTGTACATAAAATCATGAACTTTTCTTGAAAAGTTAGTGTTTTGCAGCTATTAGTGCATTTTACTATCTTAAGTACCAAAGGGGTCCATATGGTGAGCAGGGCCAGGTGATGGTAAGGAGGCACTTCTCCATTTAAGTCACTGAGATCACCACCTTTTTAACGTCCAACTATACTGTCAAAAGAAAGTGGCAGTAATGTTAGTGAAGTATTCAATCTTGTATTGAAGTTAATCTAGTCCTAAATTCAGAACCTGAGTGGAATCTAGGGCACTCTGGTACAGATCAGTGAGCCCAGTGATAGTGAAATTAATGCTGGACTGATCAAGATTGAATGAAGAATAAAAGGGGTCTTTTTGTTACAATATTGCAGAATACGGGGTGAGGTGGTGGTTAAGAAAACATGAAAGTCACACAGGTAGACTGCACAAGGTGTGTCAATAAAACATCCTGGGGGCAAAAGGTATAACTTTTTTTGTACAAGAAAATAATTGCAGGAATTGAGAATGTAAAATTAATTTCCAGGCTTAGTAAGGAAACCAAGCTGCCAAAATTTGGTTTGATAAGGAATTGAAATGACAGTTTTCTTACGAGGGAAAATGATCCTAAAGTAGTGTGGCCAAATCCTGTTGTCTTGTTTTATGCTTTTGCTTCATTGCTGCGTCCATAAATTGTTCCTTTTTTAATTCACTCCAGTTTTGTATGTATTGGCCACTTCCAATTCTGTGACAAATATTCAAGAAATAGTTACTAAAAATGCCACTTTCATGCAACAAATGTTTCTAAACATAGGTTATGATATCCTGGCGGCAATGAACTTTAGGGAGAAGTGGCAGCTACAAAGCTCCCCTATTTGACAAGTGTTGCCATTCAGCAATACTCTTAATTGCCAAAAAGGGTCCTGAAATGCCTGTGACTCTGCTTAATAAACTGTAAATACCTTACAGAAGCAAATACTAGCATTTCTATACATTTTATCATACCATCCCCACTGTCCTCCCATAGCCAATTCATTACTTGAAATCTGGTTGATAAGTAGTAAATGTTTTTGACTACTACAGACCATACAAGATGTATGAGCTTAACTTTTTTCATTTGTGATGTGCTTTGCTATGGGGCCCATATTTATTGCTTCTCTCTAAGGTGGAGATGAGCCACCACCTTGAATGGATGCAGCCTTGATGTACGAACACCCACCGATGTTAGGGAGGGTGTTTTTCAGGACTCGTGCAATGACACGAAGGAACAACAACATATTTCCAAGTCAGAACAGTGGTGTTATAGGGCAAGTGTAGATGGTGGTCTTCCTTTTTTTTTAAAGTTTATGTAGTGGTAATGTGTTTGAAGGGTGCTGTATAAAGGGCATTACTGCTTTACTGAGCATCCGTGGTGGAGGGAGTGGATGTTTGTGGAGTAGTGCCAATCAAGCAGGCTGTTTTGTCCTAGAAGATGTCAAGCTTCTTGAAGAGTGGTGTTTGGTGTTTGAGCTGCATTCATCCAGGCAAGCAGAAAGTATTCCAACACACTTCTGACTCCTGTGTTGTACATGTTGGGCAATCGGGTGAGTTACTTGCTGCAGTATTCCTAGCCTGAACACCTCTGCTATTGTTATATTGTTTGTTTGGTCTGTGATGTCATTGAATACTCAGGTGATTTGTTAGATTCTCTTCCTCTTTTTTTTTTGGAAATTTGTCATTGTGGTGCAAATGTTAAGCAACCAAAGCTGGATATTGTCTTGGTCTGCTGCATTTGAGAATTTGCATGCTTTGTTTCTGAGGAGTCTCAGATGTGCAAATCCCTACTTCCTTTTATTTTGGAGGGGAAAGGCTTTGATAAAGCAGCTGAAATCTTATCCCCTCAAACGTTGGTTGATCTTACTGAGCACAAAAGGATGTGACTGTATGACTCAACAGTGGCGAGTTTCCCCTGATTCTAATGTACTAGTCTTGCTACAGCTGTGATGCCTCACCCACGCCTCAAATGTGGCCTTGGTCAAGGGCATTTCTCTAACCTCTGGAGTTCAGCTTTTTGTCGGTGTCTGAACCAAGGCTCCAAGTTCAGGAGCTGATGGCCTTGCCCCATCCCAAACTGAGCATCCATGAGCTGATTATTGCTAAGAAAGTACTGCTTGATTGCTAGGTTGACGCCCTTTTTCATCACTACTTTTTCAGCTGATCAAGGATAGTCTGAAGTGGTAATTCATCAAGTTGGATTTATTCTGTATGTGTACAGGACATACCTAAAAAGTGGGTTTCCACACCTAATGGGTAGGTGCCAGGGTTGTAGCCAAGCTGTTTCAGTACAGCTAGGCATGCTGCAAGCTCTGGAGCACAGATCTTCAATGCTACTATCAGGGCCTACAGCCTTTGCAGTAATTGCAAGTAGCTATTTGTTAATACTTTGGACTGAACTGAATCAGCAGTTGCACTGCCAGGACCCCTGGATGAGGCAGAGATGGCTTTTTTAAAGCAGGCAGTTCAGTGCTTTGGCTTAATGTCCACGAACATTCCTATGAGAACATAACTAGTGGACCCTTTTTTAAAATCAGCTTTTGCAAACACTTACCAGTAAGTATTCTGTCAATTTTTTCAACTAGATATTGAGCATCTTCCATGGTGAAGCACATTGGGGGTTTGAATTTGAGGACATTCCTATCTGGTCCATCAGTGCTAAGTAAGATAAATTCCTTTTTCAACCTGAAGGGTAAAAAGTGCAAAATTAAATTGAGTATATGAACAAAATAGTTTGTTGAATGGCCTAATTGTTTTGCTTTGCTTTCCTCCATTCTGTCTGCATGACCCGGAACTTTCAGTTACTCGCTTTTAATTCTTTCCCTCTGACCTTTTTCCATTCTCTCTGCCTCCTACATTGTTCTAATGAATCTAGAGGAATGTACCTGCGCTCACTCACTCTGTATGTTTTAAAATTTTGCAGATTAAACTTTTGAATTCAGTTAATGCAATTCCGTTTTTTTTTAGTTAGATGTTGGTAATGATTCTGCTATTGCTGTTTACATCACAGCTAGAACTGTTACTTGTCCACTAACTCCTGCCATCCTCGAGTCATCAGGAAGAAATGCGTGTAGTCGGCCTATTTGGGGCCACTGCTGATGCTGATTCGTTGGAGAAGTGTGGATCTTGTTTTAAATATTCAACAATGCTGCAGTGGTGTTGATCATCTTGATTATCTTAATTAAGAACATTATCTTAATGGTGCATTAAGTCCTTGCTGTAGGTCCTTGAGATTGACCTAGATTGAAACTAAGATTAACAGTGTCCTTGGGTTAGATCAATGTATTAGGGCATTGTGTAGAGAGCTTCTGTACAAATTGGTTATCTCAGTTGGTACATGACCCATGTTCACTGCTTTTAAGACCTAAACTGGATCATTTAAAAAAAAACTTGAATTGTTTTCTTATTTTAATCTAAACCTATTAACTAACTATTCTCTTAGAAATTTTGAGAATTGCTCACTGTTCTGACAACGTAATGTATTGTTTCTATATGAAAAGTGCTCTTGATGCAAGAACTTGCAATTGGTTAAGAACTCTACAGACCTACAAATAATTAAAATAAACACCCTTTAGTATTTATTCTAATTCCAGTATGATTCATTAAATTGGTTCAGTCTAAGGGCTACAGTATTGGTTGGGGTTCCTGACAGTCATGTCTTTAATATTGGCAAGCTTGTTGCCGAACCAAGAAATGGTTCTAGGTTTCAGCCTTCGAGTCAGCTGATGGGGGTTGCAATCATTTGAGGAGGTTAATGTTTAAGAGCATGGGTGCAAGCGAACATTCAGTTTATACAAACAAGTTTTTGAACAAAATTCAAGATCAGCTTTTCAACTTTGATTCTAAAATAGAAATTGTTTTCTTCCTCTGCCTACAACAATTGTAATACCTTGCAATTAAATACTGGGCTTCATCTGTAGCAGGTGTCCTCTTCTGATGATCTCTTACCAACTCTGCTCCAATAAATAAACCAACGCCCCTTTTAGGTACAAGAGTAAAGTATATTATGCCAATTCAAAATCAAACATGTTTAGAAATGTTGGTTTTATTGGTAGATTCAATACCTGACATCTCCAATGACTGGATGTTTGACTTTCAGTTTATTTAGCAGGTTCATTAAGTAGGTACCTACTTGTGTAGCATTCCCACATAGGTCTTCCTTCTTAATGACTTCCAAAACTGCAAGTCCAATTGCACAGGATACTGGACTTCCTCCAAACTGGAATACATCAATGACATATCTAATAAAAGGTATTGCTTCTATCTCAATACTATTACTAGGAATGTTGACAAATTTTTACTTTTGCAAAAATCAATGTTTCAATACTAATTTTCAACAATTCAGCTTTTTATTTTAAATTTATTTCCTCTTCCCTCCTTTCCTGCCATCCTACATTGAGAGAAATGAGAATGTGGGTTATAGTTTCACAATGTCCTCTTGGGGATACGTATAAAAATAAAAAAAAAAAAAAAAAACACCCTCTCAATTTTCAGTTTTGTGCAATGTGGCTGATAGGGGAAGGAAAGAGCCCATTACAGAGACCCTTTCATACTCTTGTTCAATGTTTAAAATAGGCAGAAATGTGATTGAATACATGTCTATGCCTTGTAATGGAATTTATCAGAAATTTTGCTGGTGGGACTATTATAAAGCATCTTCTACAATTCTACATGGAGAATATGGCTTCTGTAGTTAAAAGCACTGAAAGCCTAAAACTAATTGATTACCATGTGATAAGTACTGCAACTCCAGAACAATTTAGCCAGCAATACAACTGAGAAAACCCAAGGTCAGGTAGACCTCAGTTGTATTACACTGGTGTAAACTAGTTTGAATAAAGTATTGCCTCGCCCAACTTGTTAATCCAGTTCTCAAAACTGAAACTGTATTCCAAATGGTGTGAGACTTGATAGGTTGGATACATCAGTTACAATTCTGATTTGTGCCACAACAGTCATGGAAGCAAAACACAGGCAATAAACTATTCATTGTTTACTCTTGTTATTTATCATGCTTGATTACCTTCAGTGACTTTGGTGCTTAGTGAAACTGCTTTTGTGTTAATTCAAAGCTAATAAACAAATCTGAGGTCATGCAAGAGATGCTGTCTCAAAACTACGTTTGTTTACAAAAAGCAAATGGCTATTAGTGCAAGGCACCTTCTGAGATTTTTATTTTTTTTCATAAATCGATGATTGCTTAGGAGTTGGATGAGGGGAATAAAAGTTAATCGGGAGACGGTGTGAAGTTACTGGATATTACAGGCATGAGGATCATGACATTTATTTTTCTTGATTGCTGAGGCTAACTGCAATAGATTAATCAAGTCAACACTGACTTTCCCAAACTGCAACTCTAACTACTGGATAGATTCCAAATAGCAGTTGAGGTCTTTTTTTTTAATTTTAAGTACTATTAAGCAGAACCTTCTATTTTGGATCTGGTGATTTATGTATTGAAACATAGCAAACTTGACAGAGTAGATGCAGAGAAGTTGTTTTCCCCTTCATGGGAGAGTCCAGGGCCAAAAAATATCTGAAAGGGTTGCACGTTTAAGACCAATGAGTAATTTCTTCTGAGGGTAGTGAATCCATGGACATCTTTACTGCAGAGGAATATCAATGCTGATTTGTTAAGTATCCAAGGCTTAGATTTTTAAATTGGCAAGGGAATCATGGGTTGTTGAGAAAAGGCAGGAAAGTGAAGTTGATGGTTAGCAGATTAGTCATGATCTCGCTGAATGGCCTAATTCTGTTCTTGCATTTTATAAACTGCTCCTTCAGCGTTACTTGTACTTTGTAAAGTATATTACAAAGAATCTGCATTGCTTTTTGCTTAAGATTTGATTTGAAGACTTCCCTTGACAGTCTCTTGCTTTCGCAAAGCAGCTATAGTCATTGTTTCTGACTTACTGTATTAAAATGCTCCACTCCAGTTGCAGCAAATGCATCTGCAATTTCTTTAGTTGTAGTCACACAAGCTAATGGGTGTCCATTTCCAATAGGTTTCCCCATAGTTACAATGTCAGGTAAAAAATCATCTCCTTGTAGTTGGAATGCCCAAAAGTGTTTTCCAACTCTTCCAAATCCAACTTGGATTTCATCAGCAACAAACAATCCTCCAGCTTCGTGAATATGCCTGCAAAAGAGAAAACATCTAAAGTTAATAGCACTTGATTATCTGTTTTCCTCCTTGCCCTTATGACTTGTGAAAAAAAATCTTGTAACTTTTTGGGGTCTGGTTTGCACAGAAACAGTCAAATAAAAGACAGTGGGTGGAATTTTCAGTTGAAGTGTTTGGGATGTGAAGTCTTGAGAGTTACATAGGTAGCATGATTTTTAGATGTGATTTATCCCACAGATTTAAGGAGGTGCAGTCAGGGGAGGAATAGTTGACCACCAGTGAGGTGAAGGGAGGCAGGCAGATAATTAGGAAATCTGTTAAATTCATTTTACTCGAGCAGTTTTTCTGTGTTGGATAACTGAGTGGTGATTGCTTGGAGTGTCCAGCTATAGCCTAACTGCGGAAGGGGGAGAAAGTAAAGCAATTGTGGTTGGAGACTCAATTTGCATGGCGTTAACAAATGTAACTTAAAGATGTGTTGCCTCCCTGGGGCCAGGGTCATGGATGTCACTGATACCAATGTAAACCTCCTCCTTCAGAATGACCCACTACTGTTCAATGACATTGGCAGAAATGGAGAGGAAGTCCTGCAGTATTATTTTAGGAGTTAGGTAGCAGGACTTTAAGATTATAATCTGAATTACTCCTCCTGGTACCACATACTCAAGTATTGGAACAGGTAGAAAAGCAGGCAAGTGGGGAGTATTTCATCACAGCCCTGACTTGCGCCTTGTAGGTGGACAGGCTTTGAGGGGGGGGGGGGGGGGGGGGGGGGAGTGGTCAGAATGTGAGTTATCTATTGCAGTATTCCTAGCCTCTGACTTTTTTTTTGTAGCAACTGCATTTATATGGTTCATGCAGTTGAGGTTTTTGGTCAGTAGTAGCCTCTAGAATTGTTGATTTTATTGGGGGATTTGGTGATGATGATAATAGTATTGAATGTCATGGGGAAGTGGGTAGATTATCCCTTCATCCAGGGCTTCTGTGAACTGAAACAAAAACTTTCCAAACAGAAAGCAAGTTAATGCTTTTCAATGTCTATTCTGACCACTGGTTTAAAAACTCAATGTAAACAAATGGTCCTTATCACCTCAGGGACTCCCTCCTTGCTCATTTTCTTAAAGAACTAGTTAATGATTAAACCTCATCATACACAGACCAAAACCCACATTGCAGTAATTCAAAATCCAAACTCTAAAATAAATTGTATTAAAACATGTATTAATCACACACTTTACATTAGAGTCAACACCATTGGCTTGAGTCGTACCTAGCACAAGGAAGATGGTTGTTGAGCTCAGTCATCTCAACTGCAGGCCATCTGTGCAGGACTTCTTCATTAATGTCCTAAGCCCAACCATCAGTACTTCCTTAATGACCTTCCCTCCATCATTTGGGATGTTTGCTGATAATTGCATGAAGATCACCACTGGTGACTCCTTAGCTATTGAAGCAGTCTGTGTCCAAATGCAGCAGATGTTGCACAGTACCCAGGTTTGAGCTGACAAGTGGCATTCATGCCACAAATGCTAGGCAATGACCATCTCTAAATTCCAAATTATTAAACATTCTGGTGGTTAAGACTGACTGGAAACTGAACTGGACCAGCTACATAACTACAGAGGCTATAAGAGCAAGTCAGAAGCAGTCTGGTAGGGGTGAGGAATGATAAAAGCAAGAGGTCATGCGATAGTTGAGTAAACACATGATAGCATAGGGTATCAAAGGAAGAAATAATGGGAGCTTGTCAAAAGTGTACAGTGATTATCATGTGAGATTTTAACCAACCTATATACTGGGGAAATAGCAGTCTAGATGAGGGATTCATTGAATGTTTTCAGATCACTTTCTTAGACAACAACCAAACAGCAGATTTTGACTGAGAGAGGATTAATTACTGACCTTCTACTGGAGGTGCCCCTGGCTAGCAGTGACCATAATATGGTTGAATTTTACATTTAATTTAAGAGAAAAACAGTGTGGGCCCAAGACTACTATTTTGAATTTAAACAAGGGCAATCATGAGGGCATGAAAGCAGAGCCAGCCAATGTGATCTGGCAATTTAAGTGAAAAGATAGGTCATTTAAAGGGGCATTCCAGAAAGCGCACATATACATTCCAATAAGTGAGAAAAATTCTAAGCAATAGACCTGCCATCTGCCATTAACAAAAAAAAAGTCAAGGATAGTATCAAACCCGGAAAAAAGGCTTATAATTGTGCTAAGATATGTGGCAGGTCGGAGGATAGGATGGAATATAAAAACCAGCAAATAATTGCTAAAAGATTAATGAGGTGACAAGAAAAAGAAGTTTAGCAAAAACATAAAAACAAACAGAAAGAGCTGCTTCCGATATTTGAAAAAGGAAACTGTTAACAAGTGTTCATTCCAAAAGAAAATGAGTCTGGTGAATTAGTAATGGAGGATAAAAAGAGGTGACAGACAAATTGAACAGATATTTTGTATTGTCTAGAGAGGATACATATAGCATCCTAGAAATGAGGGAGGAACTCAAGAAAATTACAATAACCAGGGAAGTAGTACAGGGTAAATTTGTTGGAACTGTGAGTTGACAAGTCTCTGGATCCTGATGGATTTCATCCTAGGTTTTAAAAGAAGTAGCTAGTTACATGGTTGATGGGTTGGTTTTAATTTTCCAAAACACATTAGATTCGGGGAAGGTTCTGTTAGATTGGCGTTTAGTTAATTAACTCCTTTTATTCAAAAAGCAAGGGAGACAAAAAGAAATTAGGGCAAGATAGGGAAAACTTAAAAGCTATGACAGAAGTTAAGCTATTATTAATGACATTGTAACAAGCCACTTGGAGTAAGTTTCAGTGTTTTTGTCTGAGAAATCATGATGAACTAACTTTTTGAGGTAGCTTGTGCTGTAGATTAAGGGGGAACCAGTGGATAGATTTTACTTGGATAGAAACAAAAGATAGGAGCAGGAGTAGGTCATTCAACCCCTCAAGCGTGCTGCACCAGTCAAATATTATGGATAATCATCAAGCTCAATACTATAATCCTGCTTCCCTGCCCTGCCCTATATCCCCATATTCCTTGATGCCTCTAACCAAAACAGGTATATCTACCTCCTTGAAAACACAAGGAGGCCTTGACCTCAATTCCTTTCTGTGGCAATGCATTCTACAGGCTCACTCTGAGGGGGGGAAAAAAATTCATCTTAGGCCTTTTAAAATGCTTATCCCCTTTTCCTTAATGATTCCTGGTTCTGCACTCTCTAGCATTGGGAACCACCTACCTGCATCTAACATGTCTAGTATTGTTAGGTTTCTATAACACCTTCTTGTGCCCCCCCCCCCTTCTAAATTCCAGTGCCTACGATTTCTCCTCAAACATCAGTCCTGCTATCCCAGGATTTAACTTGGTAAACCTTCACTGAATTCCCTCTGTGGCAAGAACATCTTTCCCCAGGTAAGCAGTGCACACACTATTCCAAGTGTGGCCTCACTAATGCATTGTATAACTGCAGCAAGACATCCTTGTTCCTGTCGTTGAATCTTCTTGTTATGAAGGCTAATGTACAATATGCTTTCTGCCTGCTGCACCTCCATGCTTACTTTCAGTGACTGGTGCGTAATGTCACCCAGATCTCGTTAATGTTCCTCTCTCAATTTACAGCCATTCAAATAATAGTCTACCTTTCTATTTATCTTTACATTTATCCACATTACACTGCATCTACTATGCATTTATCTACTCACTCAGCATTACAAATCACACGGCAACATCTCTGCATCCTCCTCACAGCTCACACATGCACCCCGCTTTGTGTTATCTGCAAATTTTTGTGATATTACATTTCGGTCCGTCATCTAAATCATTAACACGTTGTGCCTACTGGGGTCCTAGTACCGATTGCTGAAGTACCCCACTGGTCACTGCCTGCAATTCAGAAAAAGACCCATTTATTCCTACTGTTTTCTGTCTGCTAACCGGTTTCCTACCCTCTCAATGCATTACCTCAATCCCATGCACTTTAATTTTACACATTAATCTCTTATGTGGGACTTTGTCAAAAGCCTTCTGGAAGTCCAAATAAACTACATCAGTGGCTCTACTAGTTTACACATTCTCACTGTTTCTGCGTGGATTTTCTCTGGGTGTTCTGGTCTCCTCCCACAATCCAAAGATGTGCAGGCTGCATGGACTATTGCCTATAGTGTTCAGGGAAGTCTAGGTTAGGTGGGTCAGCCCTGGTAAATGTGGGATTATGAGGATAGTGTGAAGGTGTGGGTCTAGTGGGATGCCCTTTGGAGGGTCAGTGCAGACTTACACTCATAGATGTTCAGCACAGAAACAGACCCTTCGATCCAATTTGTCAATGCCAACCAGATATCCTAAATAAATTTAGTTGCATTTGGCTCATATCCCTCTTAAACCCTTCCTATTCATATATCCATCCAAATGCCATTTAAAATGTTGTACTTGTGCCATTCTCCACCACTTCTGGCAGCTTGTTTCATACACCTACCACCCTCTGTGGGAAAAAGTTGCACCCTTAGGTCCCTTTTAAATCTTTTTCCTTCTCACCTTAAACCTATGCCTTCTAGTTTCAGACTTTCCCACCCTGGAAAAAAGGCCTTGTCTATTTACCCTATCCGTGCCCCTCATCGTTTTATAAACCTCCTATAAGGTTACCCCTCAGCCTCTGGTGCTCCAGGAAAAATAGCCCCAGTCTATTCAGCCTATTCCCTATAGCTCAAACCCTCCAACCCTAGCAGCATCCTTGTAAATGTTTTCTGAACCTTCAAGGTTCACAACATCCTTCCTATAGCAGTGAAACCAAAATTGCATGCAGTATTCCAATAGTGGCCTAACCAATGTCCTGTGTAGCCACAACATTACCTCCCAACTCCTATACTCAATGCACGGACCAATAAAGGCAAGCATACCAAACGCTTTCTTCACTTGATGGGCTGAATGGCCTCAATCTGCACTGGAAGGATTCTGTGACTCTATGTTTGCACGATGTTCAGCGCCATTTGTGAATGTTCAAATACTGAAATAGTCCATGGCCAAATACAGCAAGATGTGGATAATATTAAGTCTTGGGCTAATAAATGGCAAGTGACATTTGTGCCACACAGATGCCTGACAACAACTATCTTCACCAAGGAAGAATCTAACAACTGTACCTTGACATTCAGTCATATCACTATCACAGAATCCATCACTATCACAGAACCCATCACTATCAGCATACTGGAGGTTAGGACTGACTAGAAACTGCAATACGGTGGCTACAAGAGCAGATAAGATGTTAGGAATCCCACTGACTCCCCAGTCACCTGTGGCACCACAATCCTGTCCACCATGTCTACAAAGCGCAGGTTGGGAAGTGTTTGAATACTCCCCACTTGCCAGGATGAGTGTAGCTTCAACACCATCCAGGACAAAGCAGTTGACTTGACAGCCACTACATACTCAAAAGATTCAGTCCCTCCACCATTGACACACAGTAGCAGCAGTGTACTGCCTAGAAGATGTACTACAGAAACTCACTAAGGCTCCTTCGGCTGCACCTTCCAAATCCATGACCACTACCATTTGAAAAGGACAAAGGCAGCACAGACACGAGAACATCACCACAGGCAAATTCCTCAATTGTGGGTCTATCTACTTAAAATGAACTGCAGTGGTTGAAGGCGGCAGATCACCACCACCTTCTCAATTGCAATAAATGCTGGCCCAGTCTGCAAAGCCCATTTCTCCTAAATTAAGTTTGAACAAATGATTTACTTAATTTTTGTTCAATTTTTCCTAAATAAATCTATTTAATATTACAATACTGTCTGTTGTACTGAAGTCCTGCTGATGAAGACTGGATTGATTTCTTTTGAAATAAAGGATATTTCAAGGGGTTAAAAACAATGACCAGGTGGGGTGAGTTGCCCATTTTCTGGGAAGGCCAAAGGATGTGTACTACTTCTGAAAGGATACTTTCCATACTGTAGAAATGCGCTCATATGAAGGCCAAAATAATGGAAAGTAAGATGCCTAGAAAAGAAAACTGCAACTGTAACCAGAACAAAATTCATTAATTTTAAATCTAAATAGATGTTTGGTAGCACAGAAGGTGGATAAATCACCTGGACCAGATGGACTACACAACAGAGTTCTAAAGGAGATAGCTGAAGAGATAGTGGAAGCATTAGTGGTGATCTTTCACGAATCGCTAGAGTCAGGGAGGGTCCCAGGGGACTTGAAAATCGCTAACGTGACACCCCTGTTTAACGAGAGAGTAAGGCAAAAGACGGAAAATTACAAGCCGATTAGCCTAACCTCGTTTGTGGGTAAGATTTTGGAGTGCATTGTGAAGGATGAGATTTCTGAATATTTGGAAGTGTATGGTAAAATAGGGCTAAGTCAGCACGGTTTCATCAAGGGGAGGTCATGCCTGACAAATCTGCTAGAATTCTTTGAGGAAGTAACGAGCAGGGTAGACCAAGGAGAGCCAATGGATGTTATCTACCTGGACTTCAAGAAGGCCTTTGACAAGGTGCCACACAGGAGGCTGCTGAGTAAGATAAGGGCCTATGGTGTTAGAGGCAAGGTGCTAGCATGGATAGAAGATTGGCTGTCCAGCAGAAAGCAGACAGCGGGGATAAAAGGGTCTTTCTCAGGATAGTAGCCGGTGACAAGTGGTGTTCCGCAAGGGTCAGTGTTGGGACCACAACTTTTCACTTTATACATTAATGATCTAGATGAAGGAACTGTGGGTATTCTGGCCAAGTTTGCAGACGATACAAAGATAGGTGGAGGGACAGGTAGTATTGAGGAGGCGGGGAGGCTGCAGAAAGATTTGGACGGGTTAGGAGGGTGGGCAAAGAAGTGGCAGATGGAGTACAATGTGGGAGAGTGTGAGGTCTTGCACTTTGGTAAGAAGAATAAAAGCATGGACTATTTTCTATATGGAGAGAAAATTCAGAAGTCTGAAGTGCACAGAGACATGGGAGTTCCAGTCCAGGATTCTCTCAAGATAAACTTGCAGGTTGAATCAGTAATCAGGAAGGCAAATGCAATGTTGGCATTTATTTTGAAAGGACTTGAATATAAAAGCAGGGGTGTACTACTGAGGCTTTATAAGGCTCTGGTCAGGCCACATTTGGAGTACTGTGTGCAGTTTTGGGCCCCATATATCAGGAAGGATGTACTGGCTCTGGAGCGGGTTCAGAGGAGGTTCACGAGAATGGTCCCAGGAATGAGAAGCTTAACATATGAGGAACATTTGAGTACTCTGGGACTATACTCATTGGAGTTTAGAAGGATAAGGGAGGGATCTAATTGAAACTTACAGAATACTGAATGGCCTGGACAGAGTAGATGTTGGGAAGATGCTTCCAATGGTAGGAGAGATTAGGACCTGAGGGCACAGGTTTAGAGTAAAGGGAAGACCTTTTAGAATGGAGATAAGGAGAAACTTCTTCAGCCAGAGAGTGGTGAATCTATGGAATTCACTGCCACAGAAGGCTGTGGAGGCCAGCTCATTGAGTACATTTAAGACTGAGATAGATAGGTGCTTGATTATCAAGGGGATCAAGGGTTACGGGGAGAAAGCGGGAGAATGGGTTGAGGAAGTTATCAGCCATGATTGAATGACGGAGCAGACTCGATGGGCCGAATGGCCTAATTTCTGCTCCTATGTCTTACGGTCTTATAGAACTTGAGTGTTATTGAAATTGTGGAAGATTACAATCTTGCACTGATCAGAAGAGTTTACAAGAAAAACTGAAAGGGAAAACAAAGCAGATTCATGCTGATTGGTCCAACCACTGCACTGAGAAATGACCGAGAGAATGGCTGTCACTCGTTTTGTTGTTCTGAAACAGGTGTAGTGTGTGCATATGTTCCTTCTATCTGCAAAGAACAAAGCCCTGTCTATTACTATGTGTAACATGCAGTTCACACACTGCACCATATTATAAGCCCAATTGACAATCCTAAATTGGTGGTCAGCATGATTCTTTGCACACTCACAATAATATTGCAACTGCCTAATTGCAAGATTTAGGCTTGTCAGTCAGGCTGACTGTATTGTGCACTTTTGCGTTCTGGAAAATATCCAGGACCCTGCTGTAGATTGAAGGAACGTGTATACACACAACTGGTTTCAACATAAACAAATGTCAGCCCCTCTCTTTTTCAGGGCAATGCCTTGGACAATCAGAATCAGCCTGCCTTGTTTAAAACATAAACAAAGATTGGCAGTTAACTGGCAGTCATCACCAACTAGTGCATCCTTTACAATAATACTTGTACCAATAAGCGTCCACTTGCTGACCATTCGGTAGTCTCAATGTATTTTTTCTTTGCTTTTGTGTTTCTTGTGAATTGTTCTGATAAGTGCAAGATGAAAAGATATGGCAATACACAAATTTAAATACAGTTAAGGAAAGAATTATGTGATTCACATATTTAGACAAAGTAATATTTAATACATACTCTGCAACCTTCTGGAAATATCCTGCAGGTGGAATTATTTGACCAGCCACACTTGGTAAGGATTCAGCAAAAAATGCAGCAATCTAGGGATATAGGAAGATTGAAAAAAAATTGAAATCAGTAGCGAATGATAATGTATGCACAATATATACCTAACATCTAAATTCAAGAGCATGTAGTGATGTCAAAATATTAGTATTTGGTAGACAGAAAACCTCAAATTTTCTAACTTTGCCAGTGTCTGGTGGCCACCTAGCTAATGAGACAGCAAAGGTGCCAATAATATTTTCTGAGTTAGCCGACTGCAGCCAGGGTGTATTGGGCAGTACAAGTGATCTAACTGCCAGTAAACTGCAGAAAGAATGGTGACAGCTTCCAAGGCAGATCCCTATCCAATGACTTCTGCCGGAATACTGATCTGGATATTGCCTTACAGGACTCAAACATCCTCAGCTGTGTTACCACAAGATAGAAGAGCTTCTGAACATTCACCGATATAAAAGAAAATAATACTGGAGATTTTGGAACACAGCAGTAAAAACAAAAAAAAAAGTACTTGATATCATCAGATAGGGTCTATGAAGAGACAACAGAGTTAGAAGTTTCAGATCTATCACGTTATCACAATAGAAATAGTTAAGAGATTTCTTCAATTACAAAGACAGGGAAAAGAGGGATTGTGGGCTAGAAAGAAGAAGAGAGAAGATCTGTGACAAGATGGAAGTTTGGGAGAAAACTAAAGACATTAGAGCTGGTGGTCTAATTGGTAATGGGACAAAGAAAGAAATAAAAGATGGGTCGATAAGAGTTGTCCATGGGGTTGATAAAATCGTAACTAATGGATGCAGACTGAAAGGATGAGAGCACTGATTATATAAAGAACAAAGACAGTACAGCGCAGTTATAGATCTTTTGGCCCATCATGTCTGCAATGACACATGGTACCTTTCTATACTCTATGCCTCAACTGATGAAGGCAATATGCCTTTTTTAAAACAAATTGAGTCATGGGATGTGGGTGTCTCTGACTAGGCCAGCATTTATTGCCCAGAGGGCAGTTAAGAGTCAACCACATTGTTGTAGGTCTGGAGTCACATGTAGACCAGACTAAGTATGGATGACAGGTTTCCTATCCTAAAAGGCAACAATGAACCAGATGGATTTTTCCAAAAATAAAATCTGCAATGGTGGGATTTGAACATGGGTCCTCAGAACATTAGAAGAGTTTCTGGATTAATAGTCTCGTGATAATGCCACTTAGCCATTGCCTCCCTTGACCACCTTATCAACTCATGTTGTCACTTTCAGGGAACTGTGGATGTTTACGCCTAGATCCCTCTAATGCTTCTACAGGTTCTGCCATTTACTGTATACTTCCCTCCTGCAATAGGTCTCCCAAAATCCATCAGTTTGCATTTGCCCAGATCAGATTCCATCTGCTATTTCTCTGCAAAGTCTCCAGCCTATCCATATCTTACGGTACATTCCTCACTATCTACAGCTCCTTTAAATTTTGTGTCGAGCACGCACTTACAATCATACCACTTACATTCTTGTCCAAATCATTTATATATAATTACAAACAACAAGGGCCCCTGCACTAATCCCTGCGGAACACCACTGGTCACAGATTTCCAGTCTCAAGAACACCCTTACACCACTACTCTGTCTTCTATAACCAAGTCAGTTCTGTATCCATCTTACCAGCTCACCGACGATCCCATGTGACTTCACCTCCTGTATCAGCCTGCCACGAGGGAATCAGAATTTGTTGAATTCATTGTCAATTCTGTACAATTATAAAATGTCAACTTAAAAGCTTAAGTACAATTCCTTGAGTTTTTCCTGAGCTTCAATGGAACATTGTAGGAGGCTAAGGAAGGAGCAAGCAGAGTGGAAAGGAGAATGAAAATGGCAAACCCCCAAAGTTCAGGGTTACGTTTGCACACTGAATGGAACTATTCCACAAAGTGAATGATCAGTCTGCATTTAGTCTCCTGTAGAGGATACCACATCAGGAGCAGCAAATACAGTTTACTAAGCTGAAAGAAACAAATCATTTTTTCGCTTTTAAACTGTGTTTTGGACCCTGTTGAATTTGATCAATTCGTAGGTTACAGCTGGACACTTACACCCGAAGTAACCAGGAAGAATCAACGTGGTTTTGTGAAATAGAAGTCCTGCTTTACCAGAGATAGTAGGAACTGCCGATGCTGGAGTCTGAGATAACAAGGTGTGGAGCTGGATGAACACAGCAGGCCAGGCAGCATCAGAGGAGCAGGAAAGCTGACGTTTCGGGTCTGGACCCTTCTTCAGAAATGGGGAAGGGGAAGGGGGCTCAAATAAATAGAGAGGGGGAGGCGATGATAGAAAGTGGATAGAGGAGCAGATAGGTGGAGAGAAGATGGACAGGTCAAGGAGGCAGGGATGAGGCTAGTAGGTAGGAAGTAGGGGTGGGGGTTGGTCAGTGAGGTGGGAGGAGCGGATAGGTGGGAGAAAAGAAGGACAGGTCAAGGAGGCGGGAATGAGACAGGCTGGTCTTGGGATGAGGTCGGGGGTGGGGAGATTTTGAAGCTTGTAAAGTCCACATTGAGACCATTGGGCTGCAGGGTTCCCAAGCGGAATATGAGGTGCTGTTCCTTCAGCCTTCGGGTGGCATCGTTGTGGCACTGGAGAAGACCCAGGATGGACATGTCGTTCAAGGAATGGGAGGGGGAAGTTGAAGTGGTTCGCGATTGGGAGGTGCAATCGTTTGTCATGAACCAAGTGTCGGTGCTCCACAAAGCGGTCTCCAAGCGTCCACTTGGTTTTCCCGATGTAGAGGAGGCCACGTCGGGAACAGCGGATACAATATACCACATTAAACAGATGTTCAGCTGCACATTCGCTAATGTGGCAGGTTTTCTTGGGGCCTGGGATGGAGGTGAGGTGGGAGGTGTAGGGGCATGTGTAGCACCTCCTGCAGTTGCAGGGAAAAGTGCCAGGAGTGGTGGGGCTAGTGGGGAGTGTGGAGCGGACAAGGGAGTCGCGGAGAGAGCGGTCCCTCCGGAAGGCAGATAAGGGTGGGGAGGGAAATATATAGTGGGGTCAGCTTGCAGGTGGCAGAAGTGGCGGAGAATGACGTGTTGAATCCGGAGGTTGATGGGGTGATACGTGAGGACAAGGGGAATTCTGTCTTTGTTGTTATTGTGGGGAGGGGGTGTGAGGGCTGAGGTGCGGGAAACGCGAGAGTTGCAATCGAGGGCATTTTCGACCACTGTGGAGGGGAAATTGTGGTCCTTGAAAAACGACTCCTGCTTTACCAATTTTTTAGATTCTTTGAAGAAGTAACATACGCTCTAGATAAGGGGCGGGGTTCCTTTCACATAACTTGATTCAGATTTTAACTTGGATGCCACATAAAAGATATTTTAAAAAATTCAGTCATGGAATGTGTACATCACTGGTTACAAAAACATTTTCTTAGCACATCCCTAATTGCCCAGAGGGACTTTAAGAGGCATCCACATTGTCACTTCTGTTGCGCAACATCTATTGCCCAGCTGTAGCTGCCCTGGAGAAAGTGGTGGTGACCTTCCTTGAACCACTACAGTCCATGTGCTGTAGGTAGGCCCACAATGCTGTCAGGGAGGGAGTTCTAGAATTCTGACCCAGTGACAGTGAAGGAATGACAACACATTTGCAAGTCAGGATGGTAAGTGGCTTAGAGGGGAACTTGCAGGCAGTGGTGTTCCCACGTATTTGCTGTCCTTGTCTTTCTAGACGGACGTGGTCATGGGCCTGGAAAGTTTTACCTAGAGACTTGGTGAATTTCTGCAGTGCATCTTGTAGTACATACTGCTGCTACTACTGAGTTTTGGTGGATTTTTTGAGGCTGGTGACAACTCAGCAGTTTATTCTCATCACTCATACTTCACTCAATACAAAATTTAACTCCCCAAGACGGACAGCCAGTGCAGATTGTATTAGGAAACTGTGATTTTTCTTTGCAAAACAAAAATCACTATGTTCATGATTATTGGACTGAATTTTAGATTTTTGTATTTGATGGATGTGGTGCCAATCAAGTGGCCTGCTTTGTCCTGGAGGGTGTTGAGCTTCGAGTCTTGCTGGAGCTGCCCTCATCCAGCTAAGTGGGGAATGTCCCATTGTATCCTGACTTGTGTCTTGTAGATGGTGGACAAGCTTGGAGTCGTCACGATGTGAGTTGCGCACTGCAGGATTCCTAGTCTCTGAACTGCTGTGTAGCCACCATATTTATATGGTGAATCCAGTTCAGTTTCTGGTCAGTGGTAATCTCCAGGATGTTTCATAGTGGGGGATTCGGTGATGGTAATGCTATTGATTGTCAAGGCATGATGGTTAGATTCTCCCTTGTTGGAAACAGTCATTGTCTGGCATTTGTATGGCGTGAATGTTACTTGACACTTGTCAGGCCAAGCCTTGATATTGTCCAGATTGCTCTGCATTTAGTATCTGAGGACTTACAAATGGTACTGCACATTGCACAATCAGTGAAAATCTCCACTTCCAACCTTGAGATGTAGGGAAGATCTTTGGTAAAGCAGCTGAAAATGGCTGAGCCTAGGACACTTAGTGATCGTTAGACTTGAAGGAAGTGGGAGGAGTTAAAAGATATGCCTTCTCTGTACAGACATAAATGTCATAAATTCCCAGCCTCTGTACTGAGTTAAAAACCATTACATCTCTAACACTTCTGAAGGCTGATAAAAAGGTCACGGGCCTGAAACACTAGTGGGCATGATTGGACCTCACTCAAAATGTATTCACTTTCTTAGAGGTAATACTGGGGCCGTTATCTTCACGGATGCTGCCGGACTATGTTTCTATTTTTATTGCAAATGCCTACTGTTTGGTTACTTAAATATAGTTACTGTGAAAACAAAATTTAACCATTTGCTTAACTGTTAATTTCCTAGACTAAAGTGAGATTTGCTGAATAGCCACCAACAGTAGGAATCATCTATCTATAGACCTAGAAAGTTGGCCACGCAACATTGTTTTAGGATCGCAGAGTTAAATATGGAAGTCCAAAACTGCTCAGAGCTGTACCACTCTGCTGTGATTCTTTTGTTAAATCTTTTGTTGCGAGTCTCAGTCCAAGAAGTGCTACTGAGGTCGCTTTTCCTGAGCGATTGCAAGACAGGTCCCAGGGACACTGCTGAGAGGTGAAGATCTTTAATGCAAACTTGGAGGAGTGAAGATGTTGATTACCAAGTCCTGTTTTATCAAATTGAACTCAGTAGGTACCTGCCTAAAACTATTTTAAAAAAAGAAAACGGAGATGGCTAAAAAGCAAAGTCGAAAGTGTTTTCACCCATATTCTCCTGGCCTGGCATGGCAGTCTCTCGGCAGAATGTGGCAGTCTTTTGGCCTGGCATGGCCTCAGCATGGACTTCTGGCTTTGAGGTGATTCCAGAGCAGTCTCCCAGCCTCAAGAACCTCGAGGTGAAGCCCAGCGTGGTTTGGAGGCTAAGTGCCAGCATAGACTGGGTGGGAAGGACCATTGTTCTGAACTTTTTATTTCCCAATTTTCTCATTTATTCCTATAACCTGCAGTACTGGACTTTTTATTTCTTTATTTTCTAATTTTTTTCCTAAGAACTTGGGCTGAAGAAGCTGTACCTAGCTACCTTTGCACCTAAGATGGTGCCGTAAGTGGTGACTTTTACTCAAATTTGAGTACAGTGAAAAGTTTACATGTGACAATAAAGCTAATTCATTTCAATTCAATCTGTTCAGATGTGTTATGAAACATCATTATGATGGGTTAGAGTTAAACCAGACTTTCTGGCCTACAGATAGCGACGCTATCACTGCTTCACAAGACAACCAACACTCTGCTGTTTAACTTTGTGAACATGGCATCTCGTTGTCCTTCTCACCATTGAAATTACATTTTGTCTTTTACAGTTCAAGTACACTTTTAATAATGTAGTAGGTATTAATCACTGCCAGTCAGCTCTTTGGTTCACAAACTGATCTGTTCTGGTCCAGCCACATTAATGTGATGGTCAAGAAAGCATAACAATGTCTCTACTTCCTCAGGAGGCTAAGGAAATTCAGCATCTACACAAGGAATCTTACCAATCTTTATAGATGCACTATAGAAAGCCTCCTATTTGGATGCATCACAGCAATTGCTGTTCCTAAGACTGCAAGAAACTACACAGAGTCATGAACACAGCCTAGTCCATCATGCAAACCAGCTTTCCATCCATTGACACCATCTGTACTTCCCACTAACTTGGGAAAGCAACCAACATAATCAAAGACCTCTCTCTCTCTGGTCATACTCTCCTGCATCAGGCAGAAGATATCAACCTTTGAATACATGAGCAAAAAGATTCAAGAACAGCTTTTCCCCCACTCTTAACTGACTTTTGAATGGATTTCTCAAACGTTAATTCTGATCTCTCTCTCTCTCTCTGCTTCTTCTCTGCAGCTGTAACACTGTATTCTGCACTCTGTTTTGCTACCTTGATGCACTTTGTATGGTACAATCTGTCTGTATAGCGTGCAAAATAACACTTATCACGGTATCTCAGTACATGTGACAATAATAAATCGATCAATCAATCTGTTGTATAAGGCAATGGTTCTGAAAGGGTGAACATTGGAGACTGTATTAAACTCACCTAATCTAACAATGTCATCCAGTCTTGGGTGGAGAAACAAACAGGTTATATGTGCCATTCCTGGATCTCGATAGTCTTAGTTTTTATATCTGACTTACCAATGTATCTTGTACCTATTGTTATCATGCAATAAACAATGTTTAGTTATTAAAACAAGAACAACTACTTTTAATTCTCACTGGTAGTTCATCCTTTATCACTGGTAACCCAACAAGCCCTTAGACCCACTATAATAAGGAGAATTGGTGGTAGCATCCTCACCCAACCCTCCCTAATATCATTGTTGCTCTACCTACACCAAATCGACAGCAGCAGTTCAAGAAGGTAGCTTACCACCATCTTAAAAGCAACAAGCATTGGGCAACAAATGCTGGCCCAGCCAGCTCACCCTTATCTCTTGAATGAATTTAAAAAAAACATTAATTGGCAGTGGTTAGTTCCAAAGCAAAATACAATACAAATCATATTTTTGTCATTGATTTTTGCTGATCCCTTTAAGATGTCAATTTCCAATATTAAATTCTGGAGCAATGTACATCCATATGTTTTCCTTGGTGGAATAATGGTGATGTAACTGGATTTGTAATCCAGAGTTCCAGGTTACTGGTTTGAGGGCATGGGTTCAAATCCCATGCTGGTAGAATTTAAATGCAATATGTAAATCTGGAATGAAGGGAAAAAGCTAGTTGTGTAATTGCCAGCATGAACCTATTGTTGATTGCTATTAAATTCCATCTGGGTCATTAATTTTCTTTCAGGGAGGAAATGTACCATCTTTACCTGGTCTGGCCTACATGCGACTCCAAACTCAAAGTAATGTAGATGCATCTTAAATACCCTCTAAATTAATGTAGCAAGCCACTCAGTTCAAGTGTAATTAAGGATTGGCAATAAATGCTGGTCTTGCCAGCAAAGCTCACAACTGTGAAAGAATAAAGTAGATGGTAATTTTATCAATAAAATCAGATTTTTTAACCACTCTTAATCCTTGTTCGTCTGCATATAATAGATTAAATACGTGGTTAATTCGACCACCATATATCTAGACAGTGAGTGTGAACAGACATTTATGGTAATGTCACACCAAAGCTTGTTACTTGCATACATCCACTTCCATAAAAGCCATTAGACTATTTTCTTAGTGTCTACTGTTCCAAATGAAATAGCACGGTAATTTATAAAACATCTGCAGCATCAAGGCAATAAAAAAAAAATTAGACTTGAGGTTCAAAATACAGAACAGTCGGCAGAAAAACAATGATTTTCAGACTCTATTACCAACTTTCCCTAACTACGCATGAAATTACAAAACAAAATGACCACTCAATCAAATGGATCCTTGATGGCATTTATCCTTCATGTGAGCAACTAGTTATAATTAAATGTAAGCACTCTGTTACCATATCCCTTCAATCTTCCCTCATTCATCTATCCACTCTCATCTCAAACCCTTACATAGTTTCTGCCTTTATCACTAACCTTAGATGTTAATTACAGTCTCACAAATCTCTTTATAAAGAAACCTCTTCGGATTCCTTTTTTGCATTTTTTATTCTTGTGCCTATGCCAATCTGTGATAATTTGGTAGACCTTCATCTTGCCCAATTTTCATTGTGTTAGTGAGACAAAATTGGTTCAATATTCCTGCCTCTAGAATTTCTTTCCAGCTAGTTTTATTTAGTTATATGGCACAACATTGTCTTAACATTAATACTGTACCTTACGATTTTTCTTCTTTACTTCATCAATGACAGCTTTCACTTCATTTGCATAAGCCAAGGCTGGATCAGGGTGATCCTCCCTGAACATTCCCCGGTATGTATCAGGAATAGGTGCCTGTCCAGGAAGTAATATTTGTTTTAATTGAGAGGAAAATCACAAAATAAATCCTCTGATAAACAGTAACAGTTTAATTACTAGATTTCAACATACCACATGAACCCAATCCTTCTGTGGTCTTAGACTTCGGAATTTATAAGGGCTGATATCTATCAATGAATTAAGGTGTCCATGGTAAGCACTTTAAATACAAAGCAGAATGTGGTCAGTAGCATGTACATTACATTAAGGTAAATCCATAATTTAATGCAATATAACCCTAAATATTGTAATACAACAGAAATATCATCTTCAACAAAATACAGTCATTGGGTATGGAGCTCATGCAGGATACCACTGTAAAGAAAACTGGTTAAAGTTGAAAATTTTCTAAAGAACTATGTATTAAAATCTATGTTAGCTCAGCAATTCACAAATTTATTTAAACTAACTTACTTGTCTAACACAACAATATCTTCGTGTTGTGTATATTGTTGAGCCAGCCTGATAGCAAGATCATTTGCCTCTGAACTGTAATAAAGTAAGAAAAGAAATCATTTTTTAGCTGTACATGAACAATGAAAATATCAAATTTGTCTCCTGGTTACCTATATAAGACGCATTTAAAATCCCAAAAAAACAAATCGACATTTTAACGTTCATTTCACAGAGTGTGTATAAAGAAAATGCTCATTGTAGGATCCTCCCAAAATGTAAGTATTTGTTTTTTCTCAGTTGTCTTACATCACATTCAGTCTATACTTTAGTTCTGATTTTCTGTGCGATTTTGCCATATTTCCTGAGAAAAATCAGGGATTCTTTTTGGCTAGCAAAATGAGATAGAAGCTGCACCAACACTTAGTTTTTCTAATGTAAGAACCTGATTGTCCCTGAATCTCAATGGAATTTCACAATCTAGTTGGGTGGACAGTCTGCTGTGGTATCCTACCCAATTTATAACGAGACCCTGTTTTGACTATTTTTTGCTGAGGAGTTGTTGAACCCATTTAGGTTTCTATAATATCTGCAAGAGTTCACTGTTGTTTTCCGATTCTAGCACAAAAAGTAACAGCTTCATTGGAATCTACATCTTAGTTGCCAGACCAACACCCAACATACTAGGCTACCATTTCCCTACTGGATAAAGGACAAACAAATCACATAGTCTGGGGCAGGGTATGTGCAATTTGGTAAGAACGCACAGGGAGTAAGCAGATCTTTCTTTCATGATAATATTCACCAGGCTCACAGGAAACACCTGTTATAAAAATTATACTTGGCCTACAGAAATGTACACCATGGCATATAAAGAGCATTATTACATTAAAATTGGGATAAGACTTACTGATAATAAGAAACAATTGTTTCTTGATTGTTTTTTAGTATTTTCTGTCACTAACAGTTCAACATTGTCCTTTTTGGAAGTTTAGAAAAGTGTCCATGGCAGTAGATGTAGATTAAAGTGTCCAGCTCTTGTTACAAGGGAATTTTATTGTTTTAGGAGATGGCACCTTAAGCCTATATGTTGGCCAGGAAAGATAATTGCTTCTTTCAAAGTGTGTGCAGGATCTGCTTAGAAAAAAAGCAGTAAAACAGAACACAAGAGAATATTTAAAGTAAACCAAAATTGGAGCTGACTGCCTATGTTTTCAGTTATTTCAAAAAATGGAGGACTGATCACCATAGGTAATCTAAATTTAGAAAATACTCAATGTTAAAGAGTTGCAGACATTTTCACCCTGATGTATGTAGGTGTTTTATATTTGTGTGTTTGTGTGTGTGTATTAGGAAGGATTTGCAGTTAAACACTGTCAATTAATGTACAGAATACAATTTGACCCAAAATCGTAAAAGCATATCTAATTTATTCTCCTTTTGAGAATCTTGGTGAACTGGAAAATGTCTTGGAAATAATTAAAAACTATTCCATTGAGTCCCCGATAACACAGTGTGGAGGTGGAGGAAAACAGCAGGCCAGGCGGCATCAGAGGAGCAGGAAAGCTGATGTTTCGGGTCGGGACCCTTCGTCAGAAAAAAAAAGTGTTCCACCAGCTCCACACTCTGTTATCTCTGACTCCAGCATCAGCAGTTCTTACTATCTCCGTTGATTCCCCATTGTGTAGCTCATTCTTATAAACCAAGATGCCTACTGTTTGATTTTTGGTCAACGACGAGTTAGTTGATCCCCACATAGGTGCTCTGATACTGCAATTAATCTGAAACTCCTGCATTCAGGAGAGAAAAAAAATTCATACTTCTGGTCTCTACACAGTAAATGGTGTCAGAATGAGGATTTGGCTCAACTACAACATGTTTCCCTGCAAAACTAAAATCTAAAAGACTCCTAAAATTCACAGCCAAGGTACAAAAATCAATAATGGGCACTTGGCTCAGGTACAAAATAGCAAACAGCTGTTAAAATATATCTCACTATAACAAAGAGTTGTTGTCTTCAAAGAGAAGAAGGAAAATTAATAAAGCAAGCTATCGACCTATTTTTAAAGTTAATTCCATGACAAAAGTTAAAAAATATTGCTTGACAAGGGCTGTCCCAAGGTTCATTACAGAATCGCTTCCGTAATTTAGGCACTTTTGAAATGTACGAAACATAGCAGCCAATTTGCTCACATACAAACTCCCCAGCCAGCAAAGTGATAACATTCAGGTGATCATTCTTTGTGATGTTGATTAAGGAATAAGTACTTGCCAGTACACTGGAAATAATTCCACTTCTGTTGGAATGCACTGTGGGATTTTTTGCATCTACCTGAGAAGGTAGACAGAGCTTTGGTTTAATGTCTCACCTAAAAACTTGCATCTCCAATAATGCAGAACACTTTTATTAATGCACAAGTGTCAAATACAATTTGATTGGTACTTAAACACAGAATCTTCTGAGTCAGAGACGAGAGCACATGAATTGAGCTACATCTGATAGTTATGGCATCAACTATGTATTTTCAGTCATCCTTTCCAATAGTTTAAGGTTAATTTCAAAACTTTTTGTATTTACATATAATATTTAGAAAAAAAAACACCATCTGATTACAGTGAAGTCCATTTTTTATTTCAATTATCTTGTGTCAAGGATAAATTTACTAAAAACTGAATTTTAAGCCACCTAGAATAATAAGAATCAAATACAACTATTATTTGAAATGATTGATATATAAAAATATTTTAGGAAAATATACATTTAGCAAATTAAAAGAATCAAATTTTACCCAGAATTCACAAAATAGAAAACCGATAGTTCCTGTGGTAGTGTCTCCGATAATTTCTTTGCATAGTGGACTATATTGTCATGTAGAAAACGTGAATTTGTGTTCAGTTTTTCCATTTGCATATATCCAGCTTTCACAACGTCTGGATGACAATGTCCGACTGTGAAAGGAAAAACATGTTTAAAAGCAGGAGATTCATTTTGCATACAGCTTCATAAATGAAAACTGATGACAACCATTCATTCAATGGAACCTACATCCATTATGTCCAATTCTGCTCAGCCAATAAACCATATTCTCAAATTCAAATCAGAGTTCACATAATTTCAGCACTAGCCCTCACTGCATTTAATTACAGGCAGTAACCCCCATTTAGATAGAATCATAAGATCCCTACAGTGTGGAAGCATACCATTCGGCCCATCGAGTCCACACTGACCTTCCAAAGGGCATCCCACCCAGACCCACCGCACTACCCTATCCCTGTAAGCCTACATTTCCCATGGCTAATTCACTTCACCTGTGCATCCCTGGACACTATGGGCAATTCAGCATTGCCAATCCACCTAACCTGCACATCTGTAGACTGTGGGAGGAAACAGGAGCACCCAGAAGAAACACACACACACAGGGAAAATGTGCAAACTCCACACAGACAGTCACCCAAGCTGGAAGTGAACCCAGGTCCCTAGTGCTAAGAGACACCAGTGCTAGCCACTGAGCCACTGTGCCATCCCAGATTGCCTGGTAAAGGCTGGGTAGATGTATCCCTGGATGTGAGGGGCTAATAACTGACAGTATTCATAGGGATTTAAATGTTCCTATACATAAAGATAAAGATAGTTAACATTGAGCAAGAAACTAGAAAGAAAACAATATGCTAGTATTTATTATAAAGGTGTTGGAAGTCTTGTTGCAATTATAGAGCACTTTGGTGAGATCCCAGCCTGCAGTACTATGTCTAGTTATAGCCTCCCCACCTAAGGAAGGATGTACTACAAAAAGGTTCACTAGATTTATGCTGAAATGAGATGACTATCCTATGAGGATTTATTTGTAGTCACACTCTTATACTCTGGTGTTTAAAAAAATGAGAAGTTATTTCATTGAAATATATGAAATTCTCAGAAGCTTAGCAGGGTAGATGCTGACAGCCTTATCCCCTGGGTCGCAGGTCAAGAAATGGAGGCAATGTCTCAGGATCAGAGGTCAGCTATTTAGAATGAAAAGGGGAGTGATATTTTCACTCAGGCATTGTGAATCTTTGGAACTCTTAACCTTAAACAACTGAACACATTTGGTGAGTTTATTCAGACCAAAGCAGATTTTTTTAAACATCATGGGAAATGAGCTGATGTCAGTCACAATCTTCTTGAATGGAGGAGCAAACTTATTTCTGGTCCTGTTCCTTTGGTTCATATGACATATGGTTGTTTCGCAAAATCTGAAAAAACTTTTGGGCTTTTTTTCAGGACCCTCTAGTAGCCCATAAAGCCACTATAGGCCCAGAAGAACTAATTAGAGCTTGCACTACACTCCACTTCGTTGATATCTAATTTCACACTGTTGTCCTACAACTGGCACAGGACTCCAATTTGAACAACAAGATCAGGCAGTCACTTTGTAACAATTCAATTATGTATGAGGCCCATTTCCATAGTTAATCTGTTTGGGAAACTGTAACCAAATCTTGGAAACATGTTATCCTCGAAAGACTTTTAAAAGGACTTGGCCAAGTAGTTTAACATTCTGAGTAGAAGCATTAGTAGATTCCTTTGAAAATCTTATTTATTCTTTTTTTTGTCCTTTATCAAACATCATTCTTACTGGCTGTTTGAAGCTTCATAGAAGTTTTGAGAATTCATTCAACCGCTCATCTCTCCCCAAAACTCCAAAAGTCATTTATATTCTATAATGGATGGTTTTGTGTTATATACATGTTAAATGTGATGAAAATTTCTGTGACAAAATTTCTAAATTTGGTTTAAGTTAGGGCAAAGAAAAATGAAATGACTTCATTTACAGCCTCCTTGTTTTAGCAGATTACTTTTCTATTTGATGGAAATCACAATACTGTTTGTCCTTTTTACAGCATCAAAGTTCTCTGTGTCTGAACAACTTTTTAAAAGAGATGTCAATAAGGCAAACAAAAACTCAATTCAAATCAATTAATCTGGACTGGAAATAAATTATCGTTCAGGTTTCCTTCCAAAAATATCACAATGCCTCTTCAAACATGTTTTCAATAAAAACAATTAATTTGCAAAACATTCAGAATGAATAACATTGCATAAAATGTCATTTTTTAAAAAAATAGATCTTGTGGAACTCAGTTTTTATGTACTGCATATCACTTTTCCACTTTCAAAATTCCGACTATCCAGCTTTTAACTCATCAGTCACCATGACATTTCTGCAGCTGTCTGCTGAGCCACACCCCTTGATGTGTTGACCGTCTTAAAATGATCTTCCTAAATCCCTCTCCCATCTTCTCCATCCTCACCCTCAATAACAAGTATGATGAGCACATGTCCTTCTTTGTCATGAAGATTGAGACCATCCAATTAGCTGCCTCTACCATATTCCTTGCTTTGACGAGTCCACTGTGCTGAGAAACCTAAATTTACATCTTCCTCTAGTTTCTTCCTATCTCATCTTATGCTCTTTCTGAGCTCATCTTGCTTCTAAGACTTATGTCTGGCTTGATCAACACTATTCTGACCAAACTGCTGACTAATTGCTCCCGATATCCACATTAATCGAGATTATAAATGACCCCTCAGGTGTTGGCTGTCTCTCCTTCAAATCTGCCATCCTCAAAAAATGCTGCCCCCTCTTCGTTGTAAAACACTGCCTCATCTCTAACCTGCCTTTCCTCTCTAGAAGCCTTGGTCACGTTTTTGCCCCTTTTCCTGCAAATCATTGTTTGGATCCCTCAGATCAGGTTTTCCTCGGTACCAAAACCGCTGTCATCAAAACCCCAAGTGACATCCTGTGTGACTACTATAAAGGTAAACCATCTCTGTTCATCCTTGTTATCTGTCTGTAACTTTTCACACAGTTGACCACACCATCTTTCTCCAACATCTGTTCAAATTACAGCTTGACTGGAGGTGGGGAGAAGGAAGGTGCAGTCTACTGAATAATACTGAATACTGAGAGATCAGCGGTTGAATGAATTCTATTGAACAATTTGTTGGAACCATGGATTCAGCAGCAATAGAATCGTTTCCCCCTCTCAGACTACTAGTTCTGGTGATCCACAAGGATTTATCCTTGGCCCCTTCTATATTTCATCTACATCATCTGAAAACCAGTGTCATTTCCCATATGTATGCTGATGACACCCAGCTCTACCTAATTTGCAGCTTTGCTTTTAATTATCCCTCAGTCTCAGCTATCCGTAGCTCTGTAAATTTTGCTAAGGGACCGGAGGGGCAACTTTTTCTTGTAGAGGGTGAAGCGTGTATGGAATGAGCTGCCAGAGGAAGTGGTGGAGGCTGGTACAAAATAATTCATTTAAAAAGGCATCTGGATGGGTATATGAATAGGAAGGGTTCAGAGGGATATGGGCCAAATGCTGGCAAATGAGACTAGATTAATTTAGGATATCTGATCTGCATAAACGAGTTAGACTGAAGGGGCTGTTTCTGTGCTCTACATAACCATCTAAGATATCTGCACTCCTCCAATTCTGACCTCCTGAATAACCCTGATTTTACTCACTTTATAACTTGTAGTCATACCTTTGTGGAGTTCCCTCCCTCTTTCGTCCTTTAAAATGCTCCTTAAAATCCACTGCTTTGATCAAGCTTTTGATAATTGCCCCTAATGGGCTCAGTCAACTTTTGTTTGATGATGCTTCTGTCAAGCACCTTGGGACATTCTAATATATTGAAAATGTTAAATAATTGAAAGCTGTTACTGTTTCAGTAAGTTTAAAGGTAAACATTGACTGTCTAAAACGATCAGAATCAAGTTAATTGTCTTGAAAGAGATTTCTGCTTCCAAAATGTTCAAAAATGCGCAAACAGCCTGTGCTGTAGCAGAGGAATAAATGATAAGGCTAATCCATTGTGTCTTAATAAAGATTACTTTAATCAGTGCTTTACACACAGCACTCCAAAATACTAGATAACAAGGTGTAGAGCTGGATGAACAGAGTTGAAATGGTTCACAACTGGGAGGTGCAGTTGTTTAGTGCGAACCGAGTGTAGGTGTTCTGCAAAGCGGTCCCCAAGCCTCCGTTTGGTTTCCCCGATGTAGAGGAGGCCACAACGGGAACAGCGGATGCACTATACCACATTAGCAGATGGGCAGGTGAACATCTGCTTGATGTGGAAAGTCTTCTTGAGGCCTGGGATAGGGGTGAGGGGGGAGGTGTAGGGGCAGGTGTAGCACTTCCTGCGGTTGCAGGGAAAAGTGCCGGGTGAGGTGGGGCTGGAGGGCGGTGTGGAGCGGACAAGGGAGTCACGGAGAGAGTGGTCCCTCCGGAAAGCAGATAAGGGTGGGGAGGGAAAAATGTCTTTGGTGGTGGGGTCAGATTGTAGATGGCGGAAGTGTCGGAGGATGATGCGTTGGATCTGGAGGTTGGTGGGGTGGTACGTGAGGACGAGGGGGATTCTGTTTTGGTTGTTATTGCGGGGAGGGGGTGTGAGGGATGAGTTGGGGGAAATGCTGGAGACACAGTCGAGGGCGTTCTCTCCCTGGACTGACCCATCTCCTCCCTACCTCCCCACCTTTACTGGCTCCATCCCCGCCCCTTTGACCGGTCTGTCTCCTCTCCACCTATCTTCTCCTCTATCCATTTTCTATCCACCTCCCCCTCTCTCCCTATTTATTTCAGAATCCCCTTCCCCTCCCCCATTTCAGAAGAAGGGTCTAGCCCCAAAACGTCAGCCTTCGTGCTCCTCTGATGCTGCTTGACCTGCTGTGTTCATCCAGCTCTACACCTTGTTGTCTCGGATTCTCCAGCATCTGCAGTTTCTACTAACTCCAAAATACGACTTCAGTTGATGAAAGTTCTGTATGTGCATATTTATACCTGTAGATGGTGCTCTGCTTCCAGCCACTGATTGCAATTTAGATATTTTGTCAGTATATTCAGCCCCTATGCCTATGAAGTATATTTTTAAACCCGTTTCAAGTGGAGAATAGCCTGTACACAGAAAGCAGGATGAATATTGGTCAATTACTGCCTCAACAGTCCAGTCTCAGACGTCAAAGTAATACAGGCTGAATAGACTGGGGCTATTTTCCTTGTGCCATTGAAGGCTGAGGGGTGACCTTATAGAGGTTTATGAAATCATAAGGGACATGAATAAGGTGAATAGGCAAGGTCTTTTCCCCAGGGTAGGAGAGTCCAAAACTAGAGGGGATAGGTTTAAGGTGAGAGGGGAAAGATTTAAAAGGGACTTAAAGGGCAATGTTTTCACACAGAGGGTGATGCATGTATGAACTGAGCTGCCAGCGGAAGTGGTGGAGGCTGGTACAATTACAACATTTAAAAGGCATCCGGATGGGTATATGAACAGGAAGTGTTTAGCGGGATAGGGGCCAAATGCTGGCAAATGGGATTCGATTAATTTTGGATATCTGGTCAGCCTGGATGAGTTGGACCGAAGGGTCTGTTTCCATGCTGTACGTCTCTATGACTTGAATGGAAGTTGTTGTCAACAGCTCCATCTAGCGACATTTGTCCAACAATAATGTGCTGACTAATGCTCAGTTTGAGTTTGTGATTCACCAGGACTGCTCGACTCCAGAACTGAAGCAGCCATATTCCAAACATGGGCAAGGACCTGAATTCCTGAGGTGAGACAAGATTAGCTGCCCTTGACACCAAGGTGTAGCATCAGGAAGTCCTGGTAAAACTGAACTAGTTGAGAATCGGGGAGAACTGTCCATTGGTTGAAGCCATTGAACACTCGGGTTGTGACTACTGTAGAATAATTAGTTGAACACCTGGACACTACTGTTGGTGTTTCTCAGGATAGGGTCTTAGCTTTAAACATCTTCAGCTGTTGATCAATGATCTTCCCTTCTACATTATGTTAGAAGTAGGGATGTGGGTTCTTGAGGTACAATGGTAGTGTCTTTACTTCTGGACTAGAGCCCTAGTTCAAGGCCCACCTAGTCCAGAGGTCTGTCATAACATATCTGAACAATGATTAAAAAGACTTTTAAGTAGGAATGATTGTTGAATACTAAATAGTTCAGAACACTGCAAAAGACAAGACAGGACGGAGTATAGCCCCAGTAGTAAGGGAATGACATGAGGGCATTAGTCATTAAGGATCGTGGCTCGGGAAAGCTGGAAGTCACATCAGTATGGCTGAGATTCGGAACAGCTTGAGTTAGAAAATCCTGGTGCAAGTAGATGATAGGCCCCTAACAGTGAATTGCTGAAGCTTGTAACAAACACAATGCAATTAATTGTATGGTGACTTTACATCTTCATATAAACTGGCCTAATCAAATTGATAAAGATAGACTGCAAGAATGCTTTTGTTAGAGTTTCTGGAACAATACAATGTGGAACCTGTGTGATTGGAATGAGGTCAGCCAGGTGGATCTCATAAAATGAGTTCCCTGATTGGGCTGTTAACCTGGTCCAATCAAGAGCCCTGGCTGACAGATATAAACAGGAGTGTCACTCTAGGATCCAGCTCTGAGCTGGCTGGATCAGTGTCATGTACTGTGTGCATGTAAATAGAGAGTGACTTGGTGACAGGATATCAGCCTTTATGGAATTATTTCAGTGGCGATGAGAGAAAAAAGAAGCCCCTGCACAGATTTGCTCGCAACAGTTGGCTTTAAATTGGAGTAAGCATTTCTGGCATCACGCTATTATTTGGGAAGTTTGACTCATTCGATCCTTGGAAGAGTGGGTCCAAAGTATAGAAAGAACATGTTATATTTTCCAGGCAAATAACATGAGACAAATGAAAAGCAATGTGGCAGTGCTGGCTCAAGGTAGCCCAGCAGAGAGAAATGCCTGATAGTGTATGCTGAACGAAAGTAGGCTCTGATAGAGAAGGAAGGTTTGGCGGTCATCTTTTGTGTGATGAAGTTCCACCAATACCTTTACAGATGTAAATTTGTAATAGTAACAGACCACAAACCACTGTTTCGGCTACTTAAAGAGACAGGGCCATTCCACCGATAGCTTCAGGTTGAATTCAGCAGTGGGCCTTTATTCTGAGCACATACAATTACATGTTGGAACACTATCGGGGAGGCCAAGTGGCAATTGCAGATGCGCTGAGCCAACCAGATTGAAACCTTTCTGGACCCGGTGAAGACCCCATATTATTATGGGGTGAAAGAGTGATTGTCCTGAGCAAAGGCCAGATACTGGCTGAACTCCTCCAGGAGTGTCCAAAATGAAGATATTGACAAAAAGTTATGTCCAGCGGTCAGGATTGGATGCTGACATAGCTGTGTTGGTGGGGCAGTGCCCAGCTTGCTGACAATGATGAAAATTACTGCCAGCAGCTGCCCTGCATTTGTGTGATTGTTCAGGTAAACCCTGGACTTAGTTACAAGCTGACTACGCCAGTCCTTTCGTAGGGTCTATGTTTTCAGTCATTTTTGATGAGCATAGAGTTCATTCATCAAACACGGGGACAATGATTGAAAAGCTGTGAGCATCTTTTGAAATACATAGACTCCCAGCATTGGTCACATATACGGCTGGGAATTTGAGTATTTCCTAAAGTCGAATGGCATTCGCCATGCAAGGACAGCCCCATACCATCCATTGTCCAACGCTCTGGCGGAAAGAGCTGTCCAAACTTTGAAGGCAGGCTTAAAGAAACCATTTACAGCTTCACTCGAAACCAAAATGTCCTGGTTCCTGTTTGATTATAGGACCACCTCTCTCGCTACACAGACAGCTCCAGCACTATTGCTAATGTGGAGAAGACGCCGCACCAGGTTAAATCTGATCTTCTAAGTGGTGGTGGTGGTGGGTGGTTAGGGTGGAGTTGCGAAACAGCATTAGGAAAGCCAATGCTGGACACAAGACTTCTCTAAGCAAGAAAGGCAGCTTACTTCATTGGACAAAGTCTGGTGTAGGAACAACAGGAATAGCCCTGCTGATTAAAAGGGCACAGTCAACACAAGGTCAGGTCCCATGATGTTCAAAGTTTGGGTAGGTAAGGCGGTCCTGAAGAACAACGTGGCCCACATGAAAGCTGCAGCCTCGCAAACAGGGCTGGAGCAAAACATACCCGGCCCCTCAGAACATCTGGCAAGGCTGTCAGAACTCGTGGATTCTCTCCTTCCGTCAAGTGGCTAAGAAACCTCTAAGGACGAGATGGACCCGGCAGATGTCACAAACTGCCATTATCGCCTGTGGAAGATGAGCTTTGGCCGAGATGCTCTGGGCTATGGTCTAGTACACGCTGCTAGTATCCAAGGCAGAGTCAGAGGAATCAGATCTGGTGTGAAAACACCCCAGGAGAAGCTACACGAAAAAGAATGGGCCTAGGTCCCAGGATGTAGAGGGGGAGGGATGTTGTGATTGGAATGACACCAGTCAGGCATACCTCATGGATTGGGGCTGTTAAGCTGGTCTAATCAGGTAGTTCTGGCTGACAGATATAAACAGAGGTGTCTCCTTGGAGAAGGAGCACGCGTTGTCCACCAATACTCTCTTGATACTTTTCAGAAGAGATAGGCACCACGGGGTGTGGAGTGCCTTATCTCCCTCTCCAATTCCATTTCCCTCCCCCTCACTTTTTTTCTTTCATGTAGGCTTTGCCCCTAGGGGCTGTGCTTGATACTGATTCTTTGGTCACATAGCTGTTTTTCTTTCTGCTGGTGGTATGTTAATAAAGTTATTTGCAAACCTGGAGTTTTTTTTTAAACTGTGTCTCACACCTGCACACGCACAACAAGGGTGCTGGAGAACAAGAAACAAAAGGGATTAAATAAAGGGGAAAAATATGCATATATATAACCAGGAGATTAGAATCTCCTCTGTTGAAGTGACTGACTGTGAGCCGGCTGGTAGCAAAAAAAATAAACAGAAGTGTCAGGGTTTCTGCTCAGTCTAGGAGCCAGCTCTCATCTAGCTGGGTCAGTGTCATGTACTAGGCACATGTAAATAAAGAATGACTTGGTGATAGGATACCAGCCTTCATGGAGTTATTTTAGAACCAAATAGGGATAAACCTATTTTAGATGTAGTATTGTTTATTGAGACCTAATTAATTAATAATCTCATTGCAAAACATGCACTGGGAAATACAGTCAAAATACAATTGAATTTCATATGTTTGAAAGTGACATGACTCTTAAAATTTTTAAATAAAGCCAATTTAAAGAAACAATTCAAAGTATTCAGTGAAAATAAATTCCACTTAAAAACAAACAAAACCTTAACAAAATAGATTCATCCAGGCCTTAAGACGTTAAGCATAGCATCAGATTAAAATAGAAGGTTTATAATGTTGCAAGGAATAGTGGTAAATTTGAGGAATAAGAATGTTTTAGATTCCAGCAACTGATGATAAAATGTTGCTACAAGAGGGGAAAAAAAGTAGAAAGCAAAGTAGCCAGGAACATATTTAAAAAAATTGTAAGAAGTGTAAGTGTTACACACAGCTTCCCTAATGGTTATGTAAGCTTTGTCATCCGTTTAAATGATCTTCTTACCATGAGCAACATTATTAATACAGTCCAAATATTTTCTGTCCTTTTCATCAAACATATATTGCCCCTGAGCTCTGACAATCTTGATAGGGTCATCTGGAAAAAAAAGCCTGCAAGAAGATCTGAAAATAAAATGTAGAGATCACAATGTAACTAAATCATTTATAGATTTTTGAAACTTTTATTCTTTTAATCTTTCCTAATGCTATTTTTAACTGCACTATATATTACCATTAAAACAAAACTTGAAGTCTTTGTAACACAATGCTGTCTTAGTGAGTAAAATTTGTTCTACTCAGCTGTCCACAGTACAGGATTTTTAAATATATGCTGGTTGTTTCTTTGTACTGGATACTTATATCCTATGAATTCTACACCAGGGCCCTCCATTGGTTCATATTTGAGGAGAATGAGGCATTCACCTGGAGCTCAGATACACCTCAACATATAATCACAGAAGATAGGATTTAAGTGTGCCATAACATCTCTTTTGTAATTATGTGGGTTGGGGTAGGGAGGCATTGGTTAACGTTTTTAGTTAACACCGAAGGATTTTTTTTTTAGAAATTCTATTCACTTGTAATCTCAAACACACCAAATTTGGTCAATTTTGTAAAATTGAAGTAACGAGAATCAGAAGAACTCATTGGGTTAAACTTAGCATAAAGGGAGATAGGATGTTGCAGGGAATAGAGAGTTTGAATTATAAGAAGAGGCTGGATAGGCTGGGACTTTTTTCATTAGCGCATTGGAGGTTGAGAAGTGACCTTATAGAGGTTTATAAAAAAATGACAGGTATAGACAAGGTGAGTGGCAGGTGTCTTTTCCCTAGGATGGGGGATTTCAAGACTAGGGGACATATTTTTAAGGTGAGAGGAGAAAGATTTAAAAAAGAGAGGCAATTTTTTTATGTAGAGTTTGTGTGTGGAATGAACTTCCAGAGGAGGTGGTGGATGCAGCTACAGCCACAACATTTAAAAGACTTTTAGATAAGTACACGAATAGGAAATGTTTGGAGGAATATTGACCGAGTACAGACAGGTGGGACTAGTTTACTTTTGGGATTATTGTCAACATGGACTGGTTGGACCGAAGGGTCTGTTTCCATACTGTATGACTCTATGACAATGACTCTATTTGTGTTTGTTGAACACCAATCATCTCAGGCCAGGACACTGATGCTGGAGTTCGTCAGGGCAGCATTCCAAGCCCAAATATCTTCAGTTGCTTTATCAATGAGCTTTCCTCCACTATAAAGGTTAGAAATGCTCAGTTTACAGTGCAATTCACATCTTCTAACAGTCTGACCACATTTACTGAAAGAGTTGGACATTTAGGCTTTGTATTAAAAGTGTGGCAAGGAACATTTGCACCAGACAAGTGCTAAGTAAAAACCATTCCCAACAAAGGAAATTCGAACCGTTTCTTTTGATGTCAAACGATATTACCAATAATGAATATACAACCATCAACACCCCAGGATTTACCATTGACCTGAAAGTTAATTAGGAGAGCAACATAAATGCTGTGGCTACAATAGGAGCTCATAGGCCAGGATACAAGACGACCACCTGCCCTTATTTTGATGGCTTGTCTCACGTCTTTTAAAGGTCTTTTTGTTTCAATTCTAGGACAGCCCCATGGCTGACTAGGCTGGGCCTGAAAGTCTCCTTTGTTTTTGTCTCTGCTTATTTTGTGAGCACAGACAGTAAAGTTGTGGCCAGTTACAACCACCAATTACATCTATTCCATTCCACAAATGAAGCGTTCTTTATTTTGTTTCAAAGTTAGCCATCTGCCTGGATGAATGTAATTCCAACAAGGCCATCTACTTGAAGGACACGTCTCCACTAGCCACCCTTTAGGAGCTAAATTTAGGAACAACCTGTACATGGATGTTACATAAGCAGCCCTCCAGGAATGTCTCCAATCAGCTCATCTACACAGTAATAACACTTTCAATTCTTCACGACCACTTTACACAAACAGTGGGGAGACTGATAAAAGGAGCTGTAATTTGCTCATTGCTGATAAGGCTGAAACAAGCCGCAAACTTGGTAAAATGGACATTGCTCCCCCTGGCCCGGTTATAAATCGCAGCGAGAGCACACTTGACTGAATACATACGCGATGTACTTCTTTCGGAGAGTTAAGGTTTCTTTTTTATCGTAAAGTTCAGAAGCCATGCTCAGCTGCAAGTTGTTGGTCTGTCCCAGACTCACGTCGATCTTGCACTCTTCCTCCGCGAACGTCAGCACTTGGGATTTGTTTTAGCATTGGGTCCGGCGAACTCGGACGTGAATCCAGAGAGGCTTGTCCCGGCAGAGAACTGGTTCCCGCTCCCCCCCGTCCCCGTCCCCATCATACAGGGTACCACTGCTGCAGGGTCCTGCTAGTTTATTTGTCATACAGTGTACCACTGCTGCAGGGTCCTGCTAGTTTATTTGTCATTTGATTGATAACGCGCGGTCACGCAAGAACGTAACCATGGCGTTATAGGAGAAATACCTGTAATGTGTTTACTGGTCGAGTAGTTCGCATGGTCTTAGAGACACCCTGTTCTACCCAACAATAAGCTGGTGGACCCGGTTGTTTTGAAACAATCGTAAATGCTTGTCCCGCAAATGTTTCCAAAAAAATCAAATGATTATGGTCCGTATAGATAACAATATTGTCCTCATTGTTGGTAATGTATATGCCAAAATGCTGATCAGCCAGTGCAAGACCCATTGTCTCTTTTTTCTGTAGTTGAATATCTTTTGTTGATGTGGTAATTTCTTCAAAAAAGAATTGACAGGCCATTCATCAACAGCCAGTTCGAACAGCTTTGCATAATTTGGCACAGTTTAAAACAGTACCATTGTTGGTACAGCTTTCAAATTTTTAAAGGCAAGTTAACACCTTTCCTTCCATTCAAATTTTCTGCCTTTTAAAAGTGCAACAACAGTGCTTAAGTGTGATAGAATCCACTCGTGCCAAAATAATGCATAATTTCACATTTTGTCTTCTACATGGAAAATCAAAGCAGCCTGTACAGCTGCTTCTCTAGGTGTGATTTGACCTTGTCCCAGAGTATGGTACAAAGAAGTCACCTTGGCCCTGGCACATTCATTCTTATCCACATTTATGACTAATTTTGCTTTTCGTAGCCAAAGAATTCAATCAAGTGTGTAAATGCTCTTCCCAGGTTGGGCTATAAGCAACCAAATGTAAACAAGAGAACTACTAATCCTTCTACCTCTTTATCAGTTAACCATTGAAACATTGCTGGTGCATTTTTTGTTCCAAATTGATACAACTTTGGACCAGATAAATCCATCTGCTGTAACAAAAGCCAAGATTTCATAGCCCACTTGGTTAAAAGAACTTGCCAATATGCATTTAGTAACTTGATTTTAGGAATGGGTGTGTCCAAATAATTTGACACAATCCTCCAGTCTTGGTATAGGATATGAGTCAATTGTCATAACCATACTGACTTTATAATAATCAATATGGAATATTTGTGACTCATCCAGTTTTGGCACCATCATGATGTCTCCAGCTACTTTGATCCAGTTCCATAAAGTCATTGTCTATCATAACCTTTCCGCATCTGAGCTAATCTCTCTGGATTGAGTCTAAACAGATATTGCTTTATAGGTACTGCATTCCCCACATTAACATCATGAATAACCAAAATGACCTTTCCTGGCCTATTCCTATGGATTCATTTATAATTCTGTGTTAGCCTTTGTAAGTCACTTCAGTAGTTTTCAGGAAGATAAGACATGATGTTATCTAATCTTTTAACTTCCTCTGTGTTTTCCAATTTGATTTTTGGAAATTAACTTCTGAATTTTCCATTTCAGATTCATTCTTCCATTGCACTAGTGTTTCTCTTTCACTCCCTACTTCCTTCACTAGTCTAAGTACACTTTCTCTCGATTGCCATCCCTATCAGTGTATCTTTTCAGTATATTGACCTCACACACTCACTGACATTTTCTTCTGTCTGAAGTGCTCATTACATAATTTATACCGTTAAGTCTCTCCTTAATTTGATAAAGTCCAGTGAACCTTGCTTTTAATGGTTCCCCACAGACAGGCAACAACCTTCCCTCCTGCAACAAAATTTCAAAAAATCTCTGGCCTTTTTGCCTGCTCTAGTTTACATTATTTGTTGAGTTTCCTTCAAATGGTTTTCTAGTCAACCCATGTGTCAGTCCGATTCTGTCTAAAATTTGAGACATTGGTTGGAAGTGTTGTTTCTGAGCTTTAGTTTATTAACTTTCTGAAATCATTTTAAGTGATCATCTTACCTCATCTTATTTCAAAGAGACCAAATTCTATGGACTCATTTCTCTAATGGCAAATAGTAACAAAAGAATACCCAAAGGAATTCCGATTCCTGGTTTTTGGTAGGCATCCTACATAATCAGACATCACATGACACCAGGTTAAAGTCCAATAGATTTTATTTGAAATCACACAAGCTTTCAGAGTGCAGCCCCTTTGTTAGGTGCAGCACCTGACTGAACCTGATGAAGGGGCTGTGCTCCAAAAGCTTGTGTGATTTCAAATAAACCTGATGTTGTGTGACTTCTGACTTTGTCCACCTCAGTCCATCACTGGCACCACCACATTATGGCTACCATCCTACATAATCTATTTAGATCCCGCTAAATGTTACCACAAAAGCTAGTATTGGAAATACCCATTTCTGAAGAAGGGTCTACGCCCAAAACGTCAGCTTTCCTGCTCCTTTGATGCTGCTTGGCCTGCTGTGCTCATCCAGCTCTACACCTTACTATCTCAGATTCTCCAGCATCTGCAGTTCCTACTATCTCTGAAACAATTTTA